GGGGGAGGCACAGGGGGAGGGGCGCCGGGAGGGGAAGGGAGGGGAAGGTGAAACCGCCAGTAGCGGCGAAGGTGAGATTGGAGAAGAAGTTTCAGGAGAGAGAGGGCAGTCGAGCAAACGGCTTAGTGGCAGCAGCGAACAGTGGGCATAGCAGCAGGAGCAGCATTAGCGGGAGCAGGAGCAGCAGCAGGGCCAGCAGCGGGGGGCGCTACAGCAGGAGATGGCACAACCAGCAGCAGCATTCCTGCTGCTGCCAACCCCGCTCCGTCCAACCCGCTCACCCCTCCTCCCTCTCCATCCGCCTCTCCACCTCTGAACTCGACGCGCTCCCGAGGCAGGATTTCAAGCAGTACACACTTGAAGAGCTGCACGCGGCTATGGACCATTTCTGGCCGAACAACGTGTGTGGCGAGGGCAGCTACGGCGTGGTGTACAAGGGATGGCTGGACGGGCAGGCCGTGGCGATTAAGCAACTGAAGAACCCTGACGCTAAAGCAGCTCTTGATGAGATGAGAGAGAGGGTGCGTGCGGGTGTGTGCATGCTCTTGTCTGGTTGATTGAGAGAGACAGAGTGTGTGTGGCGAGGGCAGCTATGGCGTGGTGTACAAGGGATGGCTGGACGGGCAGGCCGTGGCGATCAAACAGCTCAAGAACCCGCGCTAACGCTTAAAAGCTGGCGCTTGTGTGATGGAGTGTGTGGGGATGGCGTGTTGGTTCTATGGGAAGGGCTGTGTGATGGTTGCAGCGTCCATCAAACAGCTTAAGAACCCCGACGCTTAAAGCGGCCTTGGATGAGATCGAAAGTGAGGTGCGTGGGGATGCGCATGTGTAACAGTAGCAGTGGCAGTCAAGCAGCTTAAGAACCCCGATGCGAAAGCCGCTCTGGATGAGATTGAATGGGAGGTGAGAGGGGTTGATAGGGGCTGAGAGGGATTGTGTGTGGTTCTATGGGGAAGTGGGTGTGGAAAGTAGCATTGGTGGCGATCAAGCAACTCCGGAACCCCGATGCCCAAGCGACCCTGGATGAGATCAAGAGGGGGGCGGGAGGGAGGTGGGCGGGGTTGAGAGCGGTTGAGAGGGGGTGCGTGTGGTGCTCTGGAGGAGGTATGTGTGAAAGTAGCATTGGCCATCCAGCCACGCAGGAACCCCGATGCCAAAGCGACCCTGGATGAGATCGAGAGGCAGGTGGGCGGGGCTGTGAGGCTTTGAGAGGGGGTTGAGAGGGGGTGCGTGTGGTTCTATGAACAAGAGGGTGTATGTATGAAAGTAGCTGCGGCCATAAAGCACTACATAGAGCACCTTAATACAGTACGTCTACTGGGCTGCTGCAGGGGAGGACCACTCGCTCGTGTACGGATGTCTCTCCAAGGAGTGCGTGGACCAAGGCGGCGCCATGCTCCACACGCGTGCCTTGGTCCACGCGCGTGCCTTGGTCCACACGCGCGCCTTGGTCCACGCGCGTGCCTTGGTCCACGCGCGTGCCTTGGTCAACGTGCACACCCTGGTCAACGCGTGACCTGGTCCACGCGCGCCGCCCTGGTCCACGCGCGCGCCTTGGTCCCACCGGCGCGCCTTGGTCCCCCGGCGCGCCTTGGTCCACCGCTAAGTTGGAATATACGCTCAGACCCTAAAGCGTACAGCGTTCATACGCTAGCGTGTATACGCAAAACGCGATACGCTAGCTAATACGCTATACGCAGTCAGAATGTTTTAGGGGCTGCCCGGGGAAAAAAATCGTGTGTATGCAGAAAGTTGCGGAATCTCCTGCTGAGCATTTCGCCGAAGTCGGAATGCAATTCGACGGTATAGGGAAGCATACTGATTTCTCCCCATGCACCCACCTCTTCCTTCCCTTGCTGTAACCCTTCCATCCAATCCCCACAGGTGGAGGTACAAAAACGCATCGACCATCCCATGCTGTCAGGCTACTAGGCTATTGCACAGAGGACCGTGCGTTCGTGTACGAGTTCCTCTCCAACGGGTCCCTGGAGGATCACATGCTGACTTCTCCCCATGCACCCCACTCCTTGTTTCCCTTGCTGCACCCACAGGTGGAGGTGCAGAAGCGCATAGATCATCCCAATGCAGTGGCGTCTACTGGGCTACTGCACGGAGGATCGTGCCCTTGTCTACGAGTTGCTCTCAACGGCTCTTCGAAGACCGCATGCTGACTTCTCTTCATGCACCCACCTCTTCCTTCCCTTGCTTTAACCCTTCCATCCAATCCCCACAGGTGGAGGTGCAGAAGCGGATTGATCATCCCAATGCTGTCAGATTGCTGGGCTATTGCACGGAGGACCGCGCACTGGTCTACGAGTTCCTCTCCAATGGCTCTCTGGAGGATCGCATGCTCTGCGTCGGCGGCACCACCGCCTCTCATGTGGCCCGAGCGCTGCCGCATCGCCATGGAGGTCAGTGCGGTACTGGTGGTGATATAGCAGGGTGTAGTGTGTGTGGTGGAATGCGGTGCAGTGCTGTTTAGTGTGGGGAGGACTGCACCTCCTGGTCTACGAGTTCCTCTCCAACAGCTCTCTGGAGGATCGCATGCTCTGCGTCGGCGGCACTCCCCCTCTCATGTGGCGGGCGAGCGCGCCGCATCGCCCATGGAGGTGAGCAACTAGGTGCAGTGCGGTTGAAGGGTGGTGTTTTGCGGATTGTTGTGGTTCAGTGCGGTTCTGCGTGGTTGGGGAATGGAGGACCGTGCCTTCGTCTACGAGTTTCTCTCCATGAGGATCGCATGCTCTGCGTCCGGGGCACCCCACCCCTCATGTGGTCCGAGCGCTGCCGCATCGCCATGGAGGTACGGTGCGGTTCTGTGTGGTGTACTGTGGTTTTGTGAGCTACTGTGTGGTACAAATGACTTCATGTGGCCCGAGCGCTGCCGCATCGCCATGGAGGTGCTGTGCGGTGTGGTGTGGTGTAGTGTGGGGATGCACTAGGCAGAGGTTTGTTGTTGACTCAATGCCACAATTACCATGGTTTCCCACACTTTCTTCACCTCATGGTTCCCCTTCCTCTTCTAACTCCCCCTTTTTCCCCACACTAACTAGGGTAGCAGCAGGTTTGCAGCACCTGCACACGCGCAAGCCCCCATCGTTCATCGGGACGTCAAACCCGCCAACGCTGCTCCTAGACGACAACTTCAGCGCCAAGCTCGTCGTTCACTTCCCATGTGCCACTCTCTTCCCCCTCCCCCGCAGCCAACGTGCTCCTAGACGACAACTTCACTGCTGAGCCTCCTCGTTCATTTCCCTGGTCCTCTCCCCTCCTCCCAACCAGGTGGCAGCGGGTTGCAGCACCTGCACACACGCAAACCTCCCATCGTGCATCGAGACGTAAACCCGCCAACGTGCTCCTAGACGCACACTCACCGCCACCAAGCTCCCTTCCCGTCCCCCCACCCTAATCCCTTCCCCCCCCCCCAACTGGCAGCAGGCTTACAGCACACTTACAGCACTGCACGCGCAAACCCCTGTGCACTGAGACATATGAAACCCGCCAACGTGCTTCTAGACGACAACTTCAGCGCCAAGCTCCCACCCTAATCCCTCTCCCCTCCCCCAACCAGGTGGCAGCAGGCCTACAGCACCTCCATACCCGCAAGCCCCCCATCGTGCATCGAGACGTGAAACCCGCCAACATGCTCCTAGACGACAACTTCACTGCCAAGCTCGGCGATGTGGGTCTAGCTCGCCTCATGGGGGACCTCGCTCCCGGCCACCCCCCGTGATGACATTTGAGGTGCTTCAGATGGGACCTTGCTCCTTGCTCATGCCCCTTATCCCTCTTTTGCCTCCTCCCAACCAGGTAGCAGCGGGTTTACGGCACTTACCACGCGCAAGCCCCCATCGTTCACCGAGACGTGAAACCCGCCACGTGCTCCTCGACGACAACTTTACTGCCAAGCTCCTCTCTCATTTCCCTTCCCCCCACCCTGGTCCCTCTCCCCTCCCCGACACCACCAGGTAGCAGCAGGCCTGCAGCACCTGCACACGCGCAAGCCCCCATCGTTCCCGGGACGTAAAACCGCCAACGTGCTTCTAGACGACAACTTCACTGCCAAGCTCGGCGACGTGGGGCTAGCTCGCCTCATGGGGGACCTCGCTCCCGGCCACTCCCACGTGGTGCGGAAATCCGTTATCGTCGGCACCGAACATTACGTAGACCCTGAGTATCTCTGCGCGAGACGAGGTTATCTCGGGCCGAAATCAGATGTGTATTCGTTCGGGATCGTGCTGCTTGCAGCTGCTGGTTGGGGATGTCCGAACCCACGGAGGATCGATGCTGCGCGGTGGAAAGGGAGGAGCTGGCTGGAGGTTCTGCTCGATCCGAGGGCTGGCGAGTGGCCGCCGAACCTCGCGATGGATCTGGCGAATCTTGGCCTTTGGTGCGCGGAAATGGACCGCCGAGATCGCCGGATCTGACGGAGGAGTGGGTGATCCCGGCTTTGTTGGAGATTTGTGAGGCGGCGGCTGAAGCGGTGGTGGAGTGGGAGGGGAAGCAGCAGGCGGCGGTGGAGGAGAGGCAGCGGCCGGAGAGCGGGAGCGAGAGCAGAAGGATGGGAGAGAGTGAGGAAGGAGGAGGCGCGGAAAGGGAAGGAACGGCAGGAGGTGGGGGAAGCTGCGAGGAAGGAGCAGGGAGTGGGGGGTGGTGGTGCAAAGGGGAAGGCCGGGGAAGGAAGACGGATGCGAGTGATGTGGGGGAAGGACGATGGTGCTGCGCATGCGCAGGGTGGGTGCTGTGTGTTGTTGTGATTGTGTTTCTTCTCATGATGTGTTGCGGTGGATGAAAATGGATGAAGTTGTGGTGTGAAGGATTAGTGACCATATGGTAGATGGATCTGAAAGAATCTCCTACATAGTTTTTACATGATATCTCCCATTGTGAGACAACAGGAGAGGGTTCATAAATACACTGCATACATACAGAAGTGGTTCAGTTGAGTGTATGTGATTGTACATTGTGTATGCATAGACTATAGGCTTCTTCACATTGACTAGTCCATAGAGTCGTGTGAATTGAAAGTGTGTGCTGTGCAGATTGGACCTGTGGGTCAGGCACCATTATGCGTCCATTATTGACCATATTAAAAGGTGTCAGTCTGATGTACATTCTTCCAAAAGGTTACAGTACACCTGACTTGCCTCCAAATCATTCCTTGCACACTTTAGATGCTAATCACATGGAGAACAACTAATAAATATAACAATGTCTTACACGCTTTTACAGGGTAACTACTTCGATCTGGTGTCTATCTAGTCATCCTCTATACATCCATTTGTTCTCCTCCCCATTCCCCAGTGCAGCAGTGGAGGTGCATTTGGTGGAGGTAAGCCCAGCTGCGGTGGAAGTAATATAAGAGGGAGTGCAGCAGGTAAGCCCTGCTGCATTTGGTGGAGGTAAGCCCCTGCTGCACTCCCTCTTATATTACTTCATCCTTTTCTCTCCTTCTCCTTGTCTCCTCCCCTTCCTACTTTCCCACTCCTTACTCCCTTTCTGCTTCTTTGCTTCACCCTTGTCTGTGCTTCACCCTTCTCTCTCCTTCACCCCCTTCTCTGCTTCTCTCCTGCACCCCTTCTCTGTCTCTCATGCACCCCTTCTCTGCTTCTCTCCTGCACCCCTTCTCTGCTTCTCTCCTGCACCCCTTCTCTGCTACTCCTGCACCCCTTCTCTGCTTCTCTCCTGCACCCCTTCTCTGCTCTCTCCTGCACCACTTCTCTGCTCTCTCCTGCACCCTTCTCTGCTTCTCTCCTGCACCCCTTCTCTGCTTTCTCCTGCACCCCTTCTCTGCTTCTCTCCTAACCCCTTCTCTGCTTCTCCTCTGCACCCCTTCTCTGCTTCTCTCCTGCACCCCTTCTCTGCTTCTCTCCTGCACCCTTCTCTGCTTCTCTCCTGCACCCCTTCTCTGCTTCTCTCCTGCACCCTTCTCTGCTTCTCTCCTGCACCCCTTCTCTGCTTCTCTCCTGCCCACCTTCTCTGAGCTTCTCCTGCCCCCTCTCTGCTGCTTCCCTCCGCACCCCTTCTCTGCTTCTCTCCTGCACCCTTCTCTGCTTCTCTCCTGCACCCCTTCTCTGCTCTCTCCTGCACCCCTTCTCTGCTTCTCTCCTGCACCCCCTTCTGCTTCTCACCCCTTCTCTGCTTCTAACCCCTTCTCTGCTTCTCACCCTTCTCTGCTTCTCACCACTTCTCTGCTTCTCACCCCTTCTTGGCTTCTCACCCCTTCTCTGCTTCTCACCCCTTCTCTGCTTCTTACCCCTTCTCTGCTCTCTCCTGCACCCCTTCTCTGCTGCTTCTTACCCTTCTCTGCTTCTCACCCCTTCTCTGCTTCTTACCCCTTCTCTGCTTCTCTCCTGCACCCCCTTCTCTGCTGCTTCACACCCCTTCTCTGCTTCACACCCCTTCTCTGCTACTTACCCCTCCTCTGCTTCTTACCCCCCCCCTCTGCTACTTCACCATTTCTCCCCTACGGCAGCGGACCTTAGCATCTTTCTTAGCATCTGCTTCTTACCCCTCCTCTGCTTATTATTCCTCCTCTGCTTTGTACTCCTCTGCTTATTACTCCTCCTCTGCTTCTTACCCCTCCTCTGCTTCTTACCCCTCTCTGCTTCTTACCCCTCCTCTGATTCACACCCCTCCTCTGCTCTTACCCCCCTTAGCTTCTTACCCCTCCTCTGCTTCTTACCCCCCCACTGCTACTTCACCCTTTCTCCCCTACAGCAGCGGACCTTAGCATCTGCCTTAGCATCTGCTTTTACCCCTCCTCTGCTTCTTACCACTCCGTTCACACCCCTTCTCTTTGCTTCACACCCCCTCTTTACTTCACACCCCTTCTGCTTCGTACCCCTTCTCTTTGCTTCATACCCTCCTCTGCTTTGTACCCCTCTCTGCTTCTTACCCACCTTTGCTTCGTACCCCTCCTCTGCTTCTTACCTTCCCACTACTACTTCACCCTTTCTCCCCTACAGCAGCGGACCTTAGCATCTGCCTTAGCATCTGCTTCTTACCCTCCTCTGCTTCTTGCCCCTCCGCTTCACATCCCTTCTCTCTGCTTCACACCCCTTCTCTCTGCTTCACACCCCTTCTCTCTGCTTCACACCCCCTTCTCTCTGCTTCACACCCCTTCTCTCTGCTTCACACCCCTTCTCTCTGCTTCACACCCCTTCTCTCTGCTTCACACCCCTTCTCTCTGCTTCACACCCCTTCTCTCTGCTTCACACCCCTTCTCTCTGCTTCACACCCCTTCTCTCTGCTTCACACCCCTTCTCTCTGCTTCACACCCCTTCTCTCTGCTTCACACCCCTTCTCTCTGCTTCACACCCCTTCTCTCTGCTTCACACCCCTTCTCTCTGCTTCACACCCCTTCTCTCTGCTTCACACCCCTTCTCTCTGCTTCACACCCCTTCTCTCTGCTTCACACCCCTTCTCTCTGCTTCACACCCCTTCTCTCTGCTTCACACCCCTTCTCTCTGCTTCACACCCCTTCTCTCTGCTTCACACCCCTTCTCTCTGCTTCACACCCCTTCTCTCTGCTTCACACCCCTTCTCTCTGCTTCACACCCCTTCTCTCTGCTTCACACCCCTTCTCTCTGCTTCACACCCCTTCTCTCTGCTTCACACCCCTTCTCTCTGCTTCACACCCCTTCTCTCTGCTTCACACCCCTTCTCTCTTCTTCACACCCCTTTGCTGCTTCGCACCCCTTTGATGCTTCACACCCCTTTGATGCTTCACACCCCTTTGCTGCTGCTTCTCTCCTTCTCCCTTCACCCCTTAGCGTCCTCCTCAGCAACACTTAAGCACCTTCGTTAACAGCTTCTAGCAGTTTCCTTAGCAGCTTCCCCACTCCTTCACCTCCTCTTCAGCATCACGGTATAAAGGAATTGACTGTTCGGTGAGAGGCGTAAGATTCACAAGGCACCAAGAGGGAAAGGACCCTCCACACCCACCCCAGTGTGGAAAAGCCCGTGACATCAAGTCCTCCTCACCCACCCCGGAGAGGAAAAACTTGTGCTGACCGGGGCACCCCAAGAGAATGGCTACCTGGAGTGTGTGGTATCTTGCGAGCATGATTCTGCTGCAGTCAGAATCATGCAAGACAAGACCAGCCTCCATCACACATTCCCTTGAAGTTTCCCGGGCAGCGTATGTCACAGCCTCTTGGCCTGAGCATGCACACTCAGTTGCCTAATGTTTCTCCACGCCGCCTACCATCCCAGTCAACCCCTCGCCACCGCTCTGCCAAAAGGTTTTAGCCGCTTCCCCCCCTTGTCTCCTCCCTTCCAGAATCGCGGATACTGCGGCGGTTTCAGTTAGTCTATTTTAGTGCGACTGAAATCTGCTACAACTGCTGCGTCGTCGGCGTTGACCTGCTACGTCAGCTGCGTCGTCGGCGTTGACCTGCTACGTCAGCTGCGTCGTCGGTGTTGACCTGCTATGTCGTGAAGGAGTTATCATCTGCTACCGTGTAGGGGTTTTGCTGCTGCTGAAGGGTTTATGTGCTGCTACCGAAAGAGAATTCCGCTGCTTCCGAAGGGGGTTTCCGCTGCTTCCGAAGCGGGTTTCCGCTGATAACGAAGGGGATTTCCGCTGATTCCGAAGGGGGTTTCCGCTGATTCCGAAGGGGGTTTCCGCTAATTCCGAAGGGAGTTTTCGCTGGCGAGATAGTGTGTCTGCTGCTGCCGAGATAGTGTGTCTGCTGCTGCCGAGATAGTGTGTCTGCTGCTGCCGAGATAGTGTGTCTGCTGCTGCCGAGATAGTGTGTCTGCTGCTGCCGAGATAGTGTGTCTGCTGCTGCCGAGATAGTGTGTCTGCTGCTGCCGAGATAGTGTGTCTGCTGCTGCCGAGATAGTGTGTCTGCTGCTGCCGAGATAGTGTGTCTGCTGCTGCCGAGATAGTGTGTCTGCTGCTGCCGAGATAGTGTGTCTGCTGCTGCCGAGATAGTGTGTCTGCTGCTGCCGAGATAGTGTGTCTGCTGCTGCCGAGATAGTGTGTCTGCTGCTGCCGAGATAGTGTGTCTGCTGCTGCCGAGATAGTGTGTCTGCTGCTGCCGAGATAGTGTGTCTGCTGCTGCCGAGATAGTGTGTCTGCTGCTGCCGAGATAGTGTGTCTGCTGCTGCCGAGATAGTGTGTCTGCTGCTGCCGAGATAGTGTGTCTGCTGCTGCCGAGATAGTGTGTCTGCTGCTGCCGAGATAGTGTGTCTGCTGCTGCCGAGGAGTTTGTCCGCCGCTGCCGAGTAGTTTGTCCGCTGCTGCCGAGTAGTTTGTCCGCTGCTGCCGAGTAGTTTGTCCGCTGCTGCCGAGTAGTTTGTCCGCTGCTGCCGAGTAGTTTGTCCGCTGCTGCCGAGTAGTTTGTCCGCTGCTGCCGAGTAGTTTGTCCGCTGCTGCCGAGTAGTTTGTCCGCTGCTGCCGAGTAGTTTGTCCGCTGCTGCCGAGTAGTTTGTCCGCTGCTGCCGAGTAGTTTGTCCGCTGCTGCCGAGTAGTTTGTCCGCTGCTGCCGAGTAGTTTGTCCGCTGCTGCCGAGTAGTTTGTCCGCTGCTGCCGAGTAGTTTGTCCGCTGCTGCCGAGTAGTTTGTCCGCTGCTGCCGAGTAGTTTGTCCGCTGCTGCCGAGTAGTTTGTCCGCTGCTGCCGAAGGTGTTTGTCCGCTGCTGCCGAAGGTGTTTGTCCGCTGCTGCCGAAGGTGTTTGTCCGCTGCTGCCGAAGGTGTTTGTCTGCTGCTGCAGTGAAGAGACTTGTCCGCCGTGAGAGACTTGTCCGCCGTGAAGAGACTTGTCCGCCGTGAAAAGACTTGTCCGCCGTGAAAAGACTTCTCCGCCGCGAAGAGACTTGTCCGCCGTGAAGACACTTGTCCGCCACGCCAAATGGGTTGATCTGCACATTAAAGACATATAACAAGATAAGTAAAGTGTAAAACGCCAAATGCGAAAGTGGCATATAACCAAATGAACAATGCCGAACAGAATTAAATTATTTAGCAGGCATGACTTACTTTTGGAGTTTTGAAGAACAAAGTTGCTCAGACGTTTGCTGTAGTGTGAAACATCGCTGCCTTGAAGCTTCCGCGTCTGTAGTTCCATGACGAAGAATCCGTTGCTCCTGAATAGAAACACAGACAATAACACAAAGTTAGTGAAGAAATCGAGAATTCTGAAATAAGAAAACGACAAATGCGAAAATGAAAATGAATGGGGTGGAACGTTCTTGACGCTAAGGCTGCAGTAAGAAGAGGGAGGAGAAGCTATTCTACCCAAACCCAAAACCCGACCCGCGGAGGATCATCTCCTCACTGCAGCCCTTGCGTCAGAGGAACGGTGGAGAACGACGAAAAACACAAATGGCGGAGTGGCGAGTTGCGATGAAACGAAACAACAACTGACAGAAAAGCAGTAAACGGAACGAGAGGGAAGGGAACGACACTTCCCGATCTGATGGAGTTGGCAGAAGCAGTCGCGCGGGTCCGTAGTCAAATCGCCCGTAGCACGCGACGCGGGAGAAGTGTTGAAGTCCTCAGAGAATGCTCTATTGAAGCCCCGCAAGTCAGGATTTCTGAAAAGCACGGAGGAAACACACAAAAGCACAAAGTTAGTAAAGAGAACAGGAGATAAAAGACAAGAGAAGAACAAAGACGAAATAAAATGCAAAACTGAAAAAATAAACAAAGACAAACGAAATCGAAAAACCGACAAGAAAAACAGAACAAGTGGGACGTCCGTGACGCGCAGGCTGCAGCCAGAAGAGGGAGGAGAACTAAACTACCCAAACCCAAAACCCGACCCGCGGAGGATCATCTCCTAACTGCAGCCCTTGCGTCAGAGGAACGGTGAAACGTCGAAAAACACACAAGGCGGATTGGCGAGATGCGAAACGGAACAACGAAGGAACACGCGGTGAAGGGAGAGAGGAGGGAGGGAAGGGAACGACACTTCCCGATCAGTCGTGCCGAAGCAGTCAAGCGCACGCCCGTCGCACGCCACACGAGAGAAGATTGAAGCGCTGAACGGTGATGCGAGCACCAGCGGGTGTGGACTGGATGATGCTTGTTTCACGGATTCTTGAGCAGAGGCAACGTACTTGACTCCACTTGATTGCCTGCAACGGTTAAAAGAACTTAGTTAGAATAAACTCAGATCTGAAAAAGAAGTTGATACTAACGGCCGAAAATCAATAAGCTTGGGAACATAGCCAAAGCTTACCTCTGGAGCTGGAGAGGGAGGCTGGGCGGTTTGATGGCGGGTTGATGGCGGGTTGATGGCGGGTTGATGAAGGGTTGATGGCGGGCTGATGAAGGGTTGATGGCGGGCTGATGATGGAGTTCCAGCGGGTAACGATAGGTTGATGCTTGATTCGCAGCTTTTTGAGCAGAAGCCACGTTCTTGACTTGCACAACATATCCTGCGAAGGTTAAAACGACTTAGTTAGGATATACTCAAATCTGAAAAACAAAGTTGAGAAAACGACCGAAAATCAATAAATTGGGGAAAGTAGCCAATGCTTACCTCTGGAGCTGAAGAGATGGGCAGGGCGGAGGGCGGTTTGATGGCGGGTTGATAGTGGCTTTGGTGGCAAATGGTGATGGGAGCTCCAGCAGGTGCGCATTGGATGCTGTGTGTTCCACAGATTCTTGAGTAGAGGCAACGTTCGTGACTTGCACCTGATTGCCTGCAAAGGTTTAAAAAACTTAGTTAGAAAAAAAGTCATATCTGAAAAAGAAGTTGAAGCTTAACGATTGAAAATCAATCCTTGAGAATAGCCAAAGCTTACATCTGAAATGGAGAGAGGCTGGGCGGTTTGATGGCGGTTTGATGGCGGGTTGATGGCTTGATGGCGGGTTGATGGCTTGATGGCGGGTTGATGGCGGGTTGATGGCGGGTTGAACGTCACGTTGATGGCGAATGTTGATAGAGATCCAGCGGGTGTGGACTGATTGATGCTGGTTTCATAGCTTCTTGAGCAAAAGCACCCTTGACTTGCACATGTCCTGCAAAAGTGAAAACAACTTCGTTAGAATACAATCAGATCTGGAAAAAGAAATTAGCAAAACGGCCTAAAATTAATAAGCACGAAAACATGACAACTGCTTACATTTGGAGCTTGGTAGGTGGGCAAGGCGGAGGGCGGTGTGATGGCGGGTTGAAATCGCGTTGGGTGGTAAATGGTGATGGACCAAGCGGGTGTGGGCTGGTTGATGCTTGTTTCACAGTTTCTTGAGCAGAAGCAACCTTGACTTTGCACATGTCCTGCAAATGTTTAAACTTTGTTAGAATACAATCAGATCTGAAAAAAGAAATTGAGAAAAACGGCATAAATCAACAAGCATGAAAAGATGACAAATGCTTACATTTGGAGCTTGGTAGGTGGGCAGGGCGGAGGGTGGTTTGAAGATGGGAGTTGGATTGATGGTGTGGAGTTGATGGCGAATGTTGATGGAGCTCCAGGAACGAGTAGTTGGTGGGGAAGAAACTAATATCGATGTAGTGCAATAGATTATGAGGTCGAAAGTCACTCTGTTTTGTGTTGTGAGAAACTAGTCCTGAGGGCATCAAAGAGAACTGGTTCAGCCGCTCGACTCGCGGGCGTCTCTGTCATTCTACTTCGCGGGCGTTTTTCTGCCGCTCTACTTCGCGGCCGTTTCTCTGTTCTGCTCTTGTGAGAAGGCTCCCTGAGAGCAGCCCTTGTGGGGGAGCAGGCACTAGGGTTTCAGCAAACCAGCGGGGTGTGGTGGTCACCACCACCAGATGTCGGCGAGTGTTGAGCCAGGTTCTTTCCACGATGGCAAATTTTTCCACTGTACCGCTGCACGGATGAGTTGGGTGCCCAGAGTACTGTACACGCATGTACAGTAACATAACTCGGAAGCTCATCCAAAGTGCTGCGCTTGACACGGACCTCGGCCCAATGGTCGAGATACAGTACCTCCTTGACATTTCGTCCACAAACATTTCACATCCGAAGCGCGTTTCCTGACAACTCTGTGGACGATTTTGCGCGAAATGGGAGGCACGGAAATCACTGTTGACGTCCCAACAGCACAAGCGGCGGAGGAACCATCGCCACGAAACTGCAGCAAGTTTTGAGAAGCTGCCTTGCTGTCGGCGACTAGGAATCTTGCTAGTCGGAAAATCTCAGCGGAAACGGGTCGTCAAGCCTGACGACCCTCCGACGACTTGACGACATGCTGCCCCGGGCAGAAAAAAACTAAAACCCCATCGGATGGCATGCCATCCGAGGGAGCCTCAACCCTAAACACCATGCCTCCCCGCGTTTAGGGTTGAGGCTCCCTGACCGGATGCATGCCCGTCTGGGGTTTATTTTTTTTGCCCGCGGGCAGCGAGCTCCCCTGGGCGGGCTCGCTTGTCCGCTGAGATATATTCGGCGGGTCGCATCACGGGGGAATCTTGCTGACATGATGCGACCCGACAAAATTTTCCCTCACTTCCGCGCCACACAGTGACCCGCTACGCGATGTAGAAGGAGCAATTGCTGTGACGTACATCGTGCCGATAAGATTGTCCCACTGGTCATTGTGCCGAAGATTATCGGTCTCGATACAAGCTTCACGATGACATTCTTGGAGCAAAGATTACTGGATCTGTGAGCAGCTAGTGTGGTGTCTAGGAGCTTGTGCAAACAGGTCAACTCAGCTTACGTGAACTCATCAGGAAGGAGGGAGGGAAATGTTGACAGAATGGTGACCTCACCGACAGCGTAGGCTCGCACAAGGACTTAGGAAATATTTACCCACCGTAAGAAACTCCTCCCTGAATCACGATTCGTCACCATCGAAAGGTGCTTGCCGGTCGCGCGGCGATGGGTACGCTTCTCCCGCATCCTTACTTTTCATTCTCCCGCCGTATTCGCTGGTTCTTCTAGTGTATCGCGTGATTATTGTCGTAGAAGTGCGTATCTGACGCGTTTAGCTATGGCGGCGGCTGCGGTGCTGCCAACACCCACGCAGTTCAATGCGGCTCGAGCCGTGGTGGCGGTAATGGAGGCGTACCGCGACGCGCGCGTGCAGTTTGTCATGAAAGTTGCCTCAGGTTCGCCTCAGGTGCGCCTTAGTCTCAATCTCTTTCGCTGTCTAATCTCAGCTTCTCTTTGCATCCGAGCTTCGATTTTCGAAATCATGATCTTCGAAATCATGGCGCTGCTGGGTGAGGTTCCTGCCGCATTTCCCGCCTCCGAGAGCCGTTCAAATCCTTCTTTGCGTTTCGCCAGCTCGCCGACACAGGAGCATGCTCCCGCGAAACCCGGAGGATGGCATCAGCTTCCTCGAACCCCTTATGATAACATCTCGAACTCCGTATGGTAACATCTTAAATCCCGTACTTTACATCTCGAACCCCGTATTTCAGCATCCTGGTGACTCTCGGCTGTTATTGATGAGCCAATTAAAACCGAATGCGTTTCGCCCGCGTTTCTTCCCCCGCAGAACGCGGAGTATCTGCTGTCGCTCGGCGCGCTACAGCTGCTGCTGCCGCCGCTCGCGCAGGACAGCATGGCGTCCGTGCAATCCGCTGCGACGCTGTCGCTGGGTTGCCTGGCGAATGTGTCGCACACGTAATCGCACCACCTCGTGCAGCGCAACGTGTCGCCTTCCCTCGTCGTTCCCTCTTCTTCTCTTCCTCTACCCCTCAGCCGCACCAATCGACATCACAAGCGCGCAGCAGCATATCTAGTCACGCCACGCTGATATCTAGTGCCGTGCGGCGCCACGCTGGCGCTGAGCTGGCAGAGGCGGGCTTGCTGCCGTTGCTGACGGAATGCCTTCCGGATGCCATGCTGGCAGTGCGGGAGACTGCTGCGTGCGCATTGGGCCACGTGGCGAAGCACAGCGGTGACATGGCGATGAGGGTTGGTTGAGACGGGTGCAGTGCGGTTGCTGGTGACATGCCTGCAGGTGCGTCCATGCATCAGCTTGGCTCGTAACACATACCAGAATGGCAGTAACTCCTTATCTCACATCTCCGTATCTCACCCCATATCTCATGCGCCTCGTACTTATGCCCTCAGTCCCGTGTTTCCATCTCTCCTTATCGCCATATCTCATGTTCTCATGATTCCTTGCAATTCACCTCCACATATCTCATCTCCCCATATTTCATATCCTTATACCTTATAGCAGGATGAGGCTGTGGCGCGAATAGCCCTCTCAGTGCCGACGTGACACCCCACTCGCTGCTGCTGCTGCTGCTGCATGCTACAGCCTTGGCAGATGCGGGCGGCATTACTGCCGTCATCTCTCTGTTGGGATTACCTGACGTCAAGACAAGGCGTCAGGTGCTGTCCTTATGCCTCTCTGATCACCTCCGCTGTCCTTTGCAGCACCACGCTTGCTCTTCCCTCCTCTTATCTCTGCAGCTGTCCTTCCCTTCTCTCTTCCCTTGTCGTTTGCTCCTGTCCGCATCTGCACAAGCGCTAGAATTTTGCATCGCCACAACAGCTCCTTTGCAACCATCTCCACGCCTCTCTGCACCCCTGTGTCCCTTTTTGATTCCACTGTCTCCCTGCCCATCTGCACGCATTTGTCCCTTTTTAGTTCCCCAGTCTCCCTGCACATCTGCACCCCTGAAAGGTCTGCGTCTCCCTCTCACCCATCGCCAGCCACACTGAATGCCTCCCTCTGGTAAGCAATGCTCTTAACCTTTCCGAACCTTCCTGAACCGCTCGAAGCCGTCTCTTCTCTTCCCTCTCCAAATTTCAGCAACTCCTCCCCTTTCTCTCTTCCCCCTCAGCTAGTGTTGGACCATCCCGGAGCACCTTGCCTGTATTGTGTGTGCACGACCCGTCGCCCTCCCTGCGCAGGCATCAGCAGGAGCGATGGTGAGGGAGGGAGCAAGGCAGGGACCGGCAGCAGCAGGCGGACTGGTGGGCATGGGGGCATGGGGGCATGGGGGGCATGGGGGATATGGGGGCCATAATGCACTTTCTCACTGGAGTCAATTGCTCACACATTCAGTTCTTTAGCCGTACGCTTGCATTCGCTCACTGCCCGTTCCTCCCGCTCATTTCGCAAGTGCACTTTGATGTGCGTACAGTCATGAGGGAAAGGGTATTGAACTCAAATGATTAATTTTTGCCCGATATGTATTGAGTTTGTGGGGTCCGTGCTAGAATGCAAGTGTACTCGCTATATATAAATATTAACTGTAGGGCGTTGACAAACAGAAACGCAGCGCACCGCACCACTGCCAAATTGCTCATCCTTATCCCTCCGTTTGTCCTTTGTGGCTCTGGTCGTGGAACTTGGAAAATCGAGTCACGGCCTGAGACCGAGTGACGACAGGCACCGAGATTACCGACCGAACGAGCCAGGCCTCAGGGAAATTCCGGCCATTTTCAGGTGCATGCCACTCAGTCTAGGAACACTATTCAAGTGCATGCCATGTCATTGGGGTTTTGAGTTGAGAGCGCATTGTTACTGTAACTTTTCGATCGGAACGCAGATCTATCGCCTCTGGCGCAGTGTTTTGGGCTGTTTGTCGATTCTGACGCAGAGTTAGCAAGATTTCTACGCAGTCCGCTGCTCATTGGTGCACATGGCAAAAAACCATTCGCTGAACACTGTTTTAACCTGTCGAGGTAAACAGTCACCTCGATGTGGCTGGCTCGGCATGTCACTGTTACCGAATCTAGAATTCCAGATTCTCGCGCCCAAAACATGGCATCACGTCCGTTACGAGCCTGGAAACTGAGACGACTTCCGTCAGGATAGACGTTCTCGCTACTAGGTGTTGCCAAGTGCTGCTACGACCCATAAATAGAAATACGCTACTAGGGGATCTTCAATAAAGAAAAAAAACTAAAATAACAAATTTGATGCACATGTATGGGATTCACAATGAATGTTATCCTCAAGCATACTGTTTAGGGTTTCACTGTTTCCAGTGGTCATAGCTATAATTGTAAAAATACAAGCTTGGGCAGGTGTGTACACTTTACGCGGCTTAGAAATTTGTTATCGTAAAATACAAGCTTCCCAAGATTCGTTGAAAATTAGCACAAACAGTCGAGAATAGATGCGATTCCGGATTACGCAAATCGAAATCGGAATGGTTGGCTCTCGACCCTGCATTTTCTGACGTTACCAGAAGCAATCATTGCATGTTGCCCGATTTCGACGCGAATTCCTGCTTCGCCCTAACTCTTTTTGAACAAACATAAAAGCTAGATCAGCTGTACTGTTTACGCGGTTGACGGACGCTGCGCATGGCAAATCAACAAAATTTTCTGCTCGTCAACACGTAAAGACTATCGACGGATGAAAACCTCCAACCAGATAGACTTCGCGGAAATCGAGAATCAAAAGACGAGACCACCGCGCAACAGGCAGATATGCGCATCCCATTTCGAGCTTTCTTGGAGGCACAAAAGAGCGCAAGGCAATCCTAGGGTGTGCTTTGGGCCAATCACAGGGAGGAAGTGTCACCTCACCTCACTACAACTCACTTCGTCTTACTTTAACTCATTGAACCTCAACTCACCGCGTTGTCTTCCCTGTACATCCCTTGACAAACATATGGTCAACGGGGAGCGAGCGATGGCCCTTCCATTGAAAACTGTACTGTACAGAAATGCACCTGCCTGCGGGATTGCTAGGGGGCGGTGGTGTGGTGTGGGCTGGTATACACCTAATGCTCGTTAGAGTCACCCAAGGTTGCCTGGCCCTTTGGGCTTGTAAGTGGTTTTTACAATTCGAGCAGTTCGTCGCATTTCACCAGAGCCAACATGGGCTTATAAAGTACCCGAATGGTTACACGTTTGTTTTACACGAAACAGTGTTGGCTTGCCTGGTTTGGTTTTTTAACTGTTGTTGTTGTTACCACTTTAGATCATCAAACTGTAACGGCCCATTTCACAAAACAACCCATTCCCTCACAAACAACCCCAGACCACATCCAGGCCAATCACAGCGAGCCATCTCAACCAACAACACACAGCTCCCCGAAGCACAACGAGCACCAGAGTCAATGAGATGTTGACCCTGGTGTACCTGGTGAAACACCAAGTACAGAGGCGGAGTTGGGCCAACTCACAGATGCACCCACTCCGCCGCATCCATGAAGCCGTCCATGACGGCAGGCGCGCCAGCATCAATGAGAGCCTGGCGAGGGGATGGCGCCGTCATCCACGCAGGGAGGACGCGCCCGCGAGGACGAGGGCGCACGGCATCCGGGGTCTCGGACAGCCTGGGGGTGGCGATCGGGGTCGCGTTGAGGTTCAACGGCGGGCTCGCCCTCTCCATGCGCGCCACGATGATCGGGTTGCGGATCTCTAAGAGTGCGCAAAGCTCGCGGGGGGTGATGCAGGTGGAGCGCGCGTACCCGATGAGCATCTCAGATGCGGCGCGCGCATAGCGACGAGCCTCGCGGGACGCGGGATCCGCATCTTGGTAGACCGCCTCCATGCTCGCCGGCGGCTCCCACGAGGCAGCCGAGTACGCCGTAGCAGGCTCCTCGGCCAAAGGGTCCTCCCCAGGCTCGGCGCATGTCGGCTGCCCCGCGTCGATTGCGACGAAGTCGGCGGCCGGCATCGCGCTCGGCCCGAGAGCAAGTCGGTCTATGAGAATCCCGACGTCACCGATCTCCTCATCGAGATCGATGTCGAGCGGTGCAACGCCGCGCCCACCAGGAGTCAGGCCTGCGGCGCCGACGTGGGACAGAGACAGAGCCCACGCAAGGGGGAGGCACTCCGTCCGCCACCAGCACCTCTGAATCGTGCGCGGGCCGATGTTCATCCAGGCGTCCAGCAACCACGCCAGGACGTCGCGGAGGTTCGGCTTGTAGCGCGCGAAATTCGCGGTGGCGCCGCCCTCCACCCACCTTTCGACGACGGCCTCGAGCCAATGCTGCCTGTACCGGGCCTTCGTCATGGCGATGAGGCCCTGGTCCAGCGGCTGAGTGAAAGCGGTGGTGTTAGGCGGAAGGAACACCAGGCGGAGGTTGCTCAGCGACCGCGTGCGGAAGCCGAACAAGTCCTCGGTCTCGGCATCCTCGGTCTTGAGCACGTGACTCGAGGCGTTGTCAAGCAGGATAATGATGTGGCGTTCTTCGGCCACCATGGCCGCGTTCAGTTGCTCCATGAAGAGCGTGAAAAGCTGCGCACAAGCGTACGGAAAGGGACGGGGGATGGACGTTTAAGTTAGTACAAGCTATCATGGCCGCGTGCGTGAACCGACAATGGCGTAAATGCATTGATTGAAAAATTGTGAAGCACATACCGGGGCGGTCATTCAGCCCTTCTTATTGTGGCGCCAGTAGCACAGTGGCTCGGGGTCGAAGTCGGGGCGGAAATCATGGGGCCGCCTCGACTTCGAGATCACGAGCGGGCGGAACGCGTGGCTCCCGTCCGCGTTCACGAGAAGCCCGACCGTGAGGCGCTCCTTTGGAATTTTGCGACCCGCCACCCGTGTACGCCCGTACGTCTTCCGGGGCAACACCGAAAGGAACAGGGCGGTCTCGTCGAAGTTGTACACGTCGCGCGGGGAGACACAGAGGTAGAGGAGAAGCTGCGGGAGCTTCTCCTTGCAAGTGCGGACCGCAGCCATGTCCTGATCCGCGGCTTCCCCAGCAGCGCTGTGGCACCGAATGCCATTGCGGCGCAAAGCGCGACGCACCCATCCCACGGAACAGCGGAAAGTCGGCGGCTTTCCCAAGTCACTTGCGATGACCGCGACGTGGTCGCGGATCGTCTGCAGCGTGAGCGGGATCCCCGCCGGGCCGGCGTTCGAGATCCAGCGCACCATGGCGCTTTCGAGGTCGAGGTGGGCTCCGCCACGAACACGGACGGGGTTGCTGTCCGCGGAGGGCGCGCGCCAACGATCCGCCGCCTTCAAAATCCGTCCGATCGTGCTGCGGTCGGGACGGAGCCCGTACCGAGTAAAACACCAGCGCGCCAAGTCAACATGGCGCATGAGAGGGTTCTGCACATGATGCGCGCAGATCGCCTTCTTAATGTGCACTGCGAGCTGTGCGCGGCGGTAGAGACGAGGCATAGTTGTTGAAATGAAAGTGGGAGTAGACTGTGATTGTCGAGGGGAATTGCAAGACGTTTTATCCTCGCTTGTCTCGAACCCGCTTCCCGTCAGCTTTTTGAGGTTTGATGTTGAGTTTTGGCTGAGGGTTCAGTCATCGTGTGAATGGGAACGCGGAGGTGCATGTAACATTCATGGGTAACCACAGGCCACACGGGGTGACGTGGGTTTAGTGGGCACAAAGGTTAGTACACGTGTGTATAACCCGCATGATGGGTGGCCGTGTTCCCAGCGCTGGGGCTCTAACATGCACACGAGACCGCTCACCCGCATCGGGTGACGTGGGTCAGCTAGACATACGTCAACATTGACGTGCGTCAAAGCTGCACGGGCAGCCTCCACGTGGCGTTTCAATGTGCGCCTTGTGTGTTTGGCGCACATTGAAACACCACGACGTGGCATCCAGTAGGCAGCGATGAGGTGCGCAACGTCAAACTCATTTCGTCCACAGTTTTCGTGCTGCCTGTCCCTGGCCTACGGACAACGAGACTCCGGGGCGGGGGCGGTTGTTGTTGGTGTAAGTGTTGCAGTTGTCGTGATTTACCCAACTTGCCCAAGTGGCTCGGCGTGCCTATAACCATGGTGCAACTGCCCGGGCTCGAATGCACGCGGGCAGAGTTTCTGCAGCGTGCCGGGCATTTTCGCGTGCATGGATCGGGCATCGTGTGTAGCCTCCTGCCAGCCATCCGCCTCTTGTGGCTCTGATCTGATGCTTGATTAGAAATGCGGAGCGGAGCTTTCACATTTGTAAACTCAACAATTGATTGATGCCAAACATTGCCTCTCTCCACTCCATCATCTAGTTGCCAGACCTAGGCCTTGTTCGATAGCCCTCGGGTACGGGAACGGAAACCGGAAGGCTTGTCATGTGTCGGCTGGTAATGAATGTGACGTCCTCTCCTAACATAGCCAGCAGAAATATCCCTCCTAACCCTGCATGATTTTATACCCCTCTGAAGGCGTATTTAAATACTTCCGCCCTAAATCACACCTTTTTTCCTGCTGCTATTTGACCCTCCTCTTCCTTCGAATCTCATCTTAGTGGCTCTCTTCCGTCGAATCGCATCTGGGTGACTCTCTTCGAATCGCATCTGGGTGACTCTCTTCGAATCGCATCTAGGTGACTCTCTTCCGTCGAATCGCATCTCGGTGACTCTCTTCCGTCGAATCGCATCTCGGGGACTGTCTTTCTTTGATTTGCATCTCGGTGACTCTCTTCCGGCAATGGAAGATCCTCGAAGGCGTCCCGCCGGCGCGCCGCCTTCCCGCGGCCCGGCTGGCCCTTCTCCCGTCCGCAATCCCGGGGGAAGCCCCATGACTAGCAATGCCTCTCGGCGCGGCCCGTCCAGCACTACTGGCGCCGGCGGCGGAGGCGGCGGGAGCTCAGCGGGCCGCGGGAGAGCGCGGCCGCTCAGGGGAACTTCCGGCACTTCCGCTCCGCCAGCTCAAAGGGGCGCGGGGGGCCCTGTCGCAGCTCCGCCAGCTAAGTCCGCCGCCGCAGGTAGGGGCGCGAGGAGTGGGAAAGGTTTGCGCATGCGCCCGGCGCGCCCGCGCGTGCAGTTGCGGAAGTACCCCGGATTAAAGCCCGCCATATCGAGCTATAGTAAGCTACGCGCGCGCGCCACGGGACAGCTCGTGGAGCCGAAAAAGCGCCTGCGGTTCAGCGATAAGGTGGAGGTTGCCACGTGGGACGCTGACGTGGACGACGATCCCGGCGCCAACTTAGCAGCAGCTGCTGCCTCAAGTTTACCCGCTAATAGCAAGAGGCTTTTTCCCCGAAATGTGCTTCTCGGCGCCGCGGAAAGTATCAACGACGCTGCGGGAGGTTTGTTCGGGCAGTCCAAAAGGGAGCTTCCTAAGGATCTGCCCACAGAGTTTGTCCGAGACGCTCCGAGATCGAAGGAGTTAAAGAAGGCTTATAAAAAGGAGATGCGCGCGCGGGGCGACAGTGATTATGCTAAGAAGGAGCACCGACCAAGGACCAAGAAGGACGGCGAAACGCGAGAGCGGAAGGCGGTCGCTGGCGGGCAGACAACAAATAAAGGAGCGGGCAGGGGAAAACCCGGCGACAGGTCCGTTTTATCCAGCGGGGCGCAGTCTTTCGGGCAGCTTGAAACGAAGTCGGATCGGGCAGCACTGGAAAAGAACGTCATGGGGACCGGTAGCAGGAGCTTGAAGGTGGAAGGCGCAGGGGGAACGGCTGGGGGCGCGGGAGGGGAGCTAGGAGGGGGGAAGGGAGCGAAATTGCTGTCGGGGAGCTTGGTTCCTAGAGACCCGCGGACTGCTTCGGCTGCCGCTGCGGCAGTGGCGGCTGCGGCGGCGGCAGCGGGGGCTGCGACTGCCGGCGCTGTTTCCGCCGGCGCTGCTGCTGGCGCTGCTGGTGAGAGTGGCCTTGACGATAAGGAGGGGGCCGCGGAGGGGATTGAGGAGAAAGTGAAGGTGGAAGGGGAGGAAGAAAGAGTGAGAGATAACGACGATAGTGATGTGAGCGATAGCGATAGTGATAGTAGTGATGATGATGATGACGAGGATGAGGATGGGGAGGAAAAAGTACAAGGGGTCTGGGTAGACGAGGATGTAGAGTTGTCGGAAGGGGAGGAAGACGAGGAATGGGGAGAAGAAGGGGTGGAGCAAGGCCAGCTGGATGCTGACGTGGCACCTGCTGCTGGCAGCCACGTGGCAGCATGGGACGGCGTGGAGGTGAAGAGGTTGGGAGAGAGGGAAGCGGAGGAAGGGGGAAGGGGAGGGAAAGGGGGGGTATCTGCGGAGGGCGGAAGCCCCAGGTGCATCCGCAGTCCCTCCTCCATAGGCGCGCCGCTTTCCCCCCGAGGGGCGCAGCTTTCCCCCCGAGGGGCGCAGCCTTCTCCCCGAGGGGCGCAGACTTCCCCCCGAGGGGCGCAACCTTCCCCCGCGGGGCGCAGCCGTCTCTGCAGATGGGCGCCACTGCAGTGGGAGTGGAGGCGTTGACGCTGGCAGATAACGACAAAAAGCAGGTACGGATGGGGGGAGATGGGGGATGAACTGGGGTGGACTTTTAAGGACATTTAGAGGCAGATGGGCGCCACTGCAGTCGCAGTGGAGCCGTTGACTTTAAAAGACTCGCTGTCAGATAACGACAAAAAGCAGGTAAGAATTTGGGGAGGGGGAGGGGGTGAGAGGGGGGGGGTGAATAAACTGGATGGATTTTTTAGGCGCCCCTATAAGCAGATGGGCGCATCTGCAGTCGGAGTGGAGGCGTTGACTTTGAAAGACTCGCTGCCAGATAACGACAAAAAGCAGGTGCGGATTGGGGGAGATAACGACAAGAAGCAGGTATGGATACGTGGGTGGTGAAGGGTTAGAGGGGGAAGGGGGAGGGGGGGTTTCTACATGCATGTGAAGGGAAGGGGCGTCAGGCAAGTAACAGCAATTCATCTTCCTTACATGCCGCTGCATTATCACGCAATCGTAGCGCTTGCACTCATCTATTTTCTATCTATTGTGTAAAAAAATATTTCGCATTTCTCAATAGCGCCTCCTTGCGCCTCCTCTTGTCTCCTCTCGTCTCCTCTCGTCTCCTCTCGTCTCCTCTCGCCTCATCTTGTCTATCTCCTTTCAGAGCGGCGCTCCCCCAACGAACCAATCAGTCGCGCGTAACGAATCCGATCCCCCTCCGGTTACCACTGCCTCTCGCCAATCTTGGGGGACTGCCCAGCAGCCCGGCAGCAGGCGCTCCGCTTCAGTGCAACTCAATATGAGCGACAGTGACTTATATGCACATAATTATGATGATGCTGATGACGATGGGTTGCCGGTGTATGGCCAGGCAAGGGGGAACGAGTTCTCTATGGTGAGTCCAATCCGGCAGCATCAGCAGCAGCGGCAGGAGGCAGAGCATCGGGCAGACCGGTTCGGTCCTTTATCTGCCCGGGGCACGCGACCGAAACCTTTTGCGGACGACGAGTGGTTTGAGGAGGACAGGGGTAGGGGGGGGCAGGGTGGCGTGGGGGAAGGCGGGGGGAGTATGAGAGGGGGCGGGGGAGGGAGAGGCAGAGGGGGAGGGGCTGGGGAATGGGAGGGGGGAGGAGGAGGAGGAGGAGGAGGAGGCGGAGGAGGAGGGGGGACGGCAGAGACGAATAGGCGGGCTTCAACAGGAGCAGTGTCTTCTGGTGGGAGAGGAGCAGGGAGAGGAGGGCCGGGAAGAGACGTACCGGAGGTGTTTGGTTCGGGCTCCAAGTCTATGCGGATGGCAGGTAGGGAAACCGGAGGTCCGGCTGCCGGACCTAAGCCGCAGGCCCGGCGGCCGTCGCCCGTTCACTATGCAGATGATATGGATTTGCCACAGGGCGGGCAGAGGGGGGGAGGGGGAGAGGAGTGGGGCGCAGGAAGGGGAGGGGGAGGGGGACGAGGGGGCGGGGGAGGGGGAGGGGGGATGGGGGGACCGTACCAGCCCCACACGGATACCTTTGGTCCGATGTCTGTAAGAGGGCCAAGGCCGAAATCAATGTCTGAGGATGATTGGAACGATCAGGGTTACATGCGGGATGTGAGGGAGAGGGGAGGTGGGGAAGGGAGAGGGCGTGGGGGAGGAATGGGGGATGGCAGGGGAGGGGGAGGGGGTGGGGGAATGGGGGGGCCAAGGCGGGTGGGGGAGGGGCGGGGGGGGACAAGATGGGGGTGGGGGTGTGAGGCGGCCTGCTGGTAATGCTGGTGGTGGCGGCGGTGGTGGTGGGAACTACGGTGGTGGTGGTGGGGGTTACGGTGGTGGCGGGGGTGGTGGTTACAGTGGTGGTGGTGGCGGGGGTGGGGGTTACGGTGGTGGTGGGGGTTACGGTGGCGGTGGTGGTTACAGTGGTGGTGGGGGTTACGGTGGCGGTGGTGGTTACAGTGGTGGTGGGGGTTACGGTGGTGGTGGGGGTGGGGGTTATGGTGGTGGTGGTGGTGGTGGTGGGGAAGGTGGCATGCCCAGCCGCCAAGGAGCAGGAGGGGGTATGGGGCAGGGTGGGCGAGCAGGGGGGGCACAGAGGCCGTTGGATTGGAAACAGCAGGTGGCTCAGATGAACCAGGCGAGCAAGGAGAAGCAGAAGGACCGCATTATGAAGATGTTAGCTGATGGCCCTCAGGATAAAAGCCGTGGGGGCTATGGGAAGAGATAGTAGAGTAGAGCAGATGGGTCTAGATGGAGTGTGGTACTGCTGGGTGAGTAGTGGTTTGCTGCAGGCACTGAATGCAGCAGGCGAGCAAAGGAGAAGCAGAGGGACCGGATTATGAAGATGCTGGCGGATGGCCCGCAGGACAAGAGAGGAAGTGGCGGGTATGGGAAGAGATAGCATAGCAGGCTGATGGGAGAGGGTAGAGGTGATGGGGTTGTATGAAGGAGGCGAGCAAGGAGAAGCAGAAGGACCGCATCATGAAGATGCTGGCTGATGGCCCTCAGGACAAGAGAGGAAGCGGCGGGTATGGGAAGAGATAATCGTGGTGATGGGTTGAGAAGCTCTTGACTTGAGACGACTTAAAAGAGCAAGGAGAAGCAGAAGGACCGCATTATGAAGATGCTGGCTGATGGGCCGCAGGATAAAAGCCGTGGGGGCTATGGGAAGAGATAGTAGAGTAGAGCAGATGGGTCTAGATGGAGTGTGGTACTGCTGGGTGAGTAGTGGTTTGCTGCAGGCACTGAATGCAGCAGGCGAGCAAAGGAGAAGCAGAGGGACCGGATTATGAAGATGCTGGCGGATGGCCCGCAGGACAAGAGAGGAAGTGGCGGGTATGGGAAGAGATAGCAGAGCAGATGTGACTAGATGGAGTGTGGTGCTGCTGGGTGGGTAGTGGTTTGCTGCAGCCACTGAAGGATTGGTGGTCGAAGGAGTAACAGAAGGACCAAATTTTCAGGATGCTGGTTGATGGCTCTCAGGATAAGAGCCGTGGCGGGTGTGGGAATAGATAGAGCTGATGGGTTGGGAAGCTCGAGACGTCTCAAACAAGCAAGGAGAAGCAGAAGTGCCGAATATTTAGGATGCTAGCTGGTGGCTCACAGGAGAAGAGCCTCAGCCGGTATGGGATGAGAGGGTAGGACTAATGTGACAGTATGCAAAGGTGACACTGATGGGTTGGGGTTGGGGAAGGGGTTGTTGAAAGGTTGGTGGTGCGAGCAAGTGAGGCGCCCCAATGATCGGCTACTGGATGGGAAGCATGTACCTTGTTTGATATTCTGTTTCTCAATCTTGCGCGAACTTATTTCTGTTTGTTTCACTCTGATTTTGATTAACCTAACCGTGCATTATTTGGATGACTGGCAACGCTATGCATAAGCTGGTACTTGTTCCACGTGAGACTTGAATAACAGAGGTGTTGGAAACAGTGAAACTTAAGCGCTTCAGTCGTGTCGAAACACCGCACCAGAAGCGAGACGAATCATACCGAAGTGTCGAGATAGCTAGGCAAGGTTGAATCGATTGACGAGAGAGTTTGGTACAAGAAACACAACCCTAAAGTGTTATCCCCTATAACATCTACCCCACTACAGCCTACCAATATATATCACACATATATATCATTTGACACACCCCCATAGGCAAAGTGGGGGAGAGCAACGGGTCACAAGACCAGTCAAGAGAAGCAAAACAAGCTCAGGGTGGATCACAACGTCACCACACATTCTGAGAACAAGCAAATGGCCACAAGGCCAGTTCACATGCAGAGATATATATGCAGCAATAACAGTACAGTGATGGCTACCTAGCAAGAGCCAGCATGCAGGTATATATATATATATATATATCACAGTACAAGCAGAGACTACAGCAAGTGTGGAAACGTAGGCACAAGGCCCAACAGAGTACAAAAGCGCTGATGATCACCAGACGGAAGTGCCTTGGTGAATATATCAGCAGTGTTGGCCCGAGTGGCCACGTGACGAAGACGAAGCTGGCCTCGCTGCTGCAACTCTCGAGCCAGGAAGTAACGCAGAGCAATGTGCTTCGTTCTGTGCTCCAGTCTGTGCTCCTCACACAAGGCAATGGCCGCCTTGTTGTCAACGTACAGCACTGGAGGAGAACGAGGCCGCTCACCCAAGTCAGTCAACAGGTAGGTGAGCCAGCGTAGCTCCTGTGCAGCCATGGCGGTGGCGTAGATCTCAGCCTCACAACTGGAGCTGAGAACAGAAGACGAGCGTGTAGACCGCCAAGAAACAGAGCCAGAGCCAAGGCTGAAGGTGTAACCCTATGACGACCGCTGTGTAGCCTGGTCGTCAACCCAAGACGCGTCTGAGTGCCCAGTGAGGACCACCTCACTCCGTCCTCCAAGCACGAGCCCCATGCCCGATGTACTGCACAAGTAGCGCAGTACCCTCTTAGCAGCAGCCATGTGCTCTGGTCGGTGCCTACCAGGAGCCACGTAGCGAGCGAGAAGGCCAAGAGGGTACGCAAGGTCAGGCCGAGTGCAGGTCATCAGGTACATGAGGCAGCCCACTAGCTCTGGGTAAGGACCACTCGGCTCTACGGACTCGTCCGAAGGTGGAGCTGAGAGCGAGTGACCTGTAGCCAGAGGAGTGTGCTGTGGCGAGGACCAGGTGAAGCCGAAGCGCTGAAGGACCTGCTGCACCATGTGTGACTGAGACAGTGTGATGGTGCGGCGTGCTCTGTCCCGAGTGATCTGCAAGCCAAGGTAACTGCGCAGCTCACCCAGGTCTGTGCACGTGTGTCTCTTTTGCAGCTCCGACTTCACCAAGGCGAGAGCCTCAGTGTCAGCAGTGGCAAAGACTAAGTCGTCTACGTACACGAGGATGTAGAACGGTGGCAGCGAAGTGTCGGTGCGCAGGAACAGCGACGGGTCAGCTGTCGAAGGAGCGAACCCAAGAGCCGCCAGTGTCGTCCTCAGTGTGTCGTGCCACTCACGTGGCGCCTGGCGGAGACCGTAGACTGGCCGCCGGAGGCTCCACTGGGTACCAGGAGGGAACGACCCAGTGAAGCCAGGTGGGCGGCGCAGCCAGATCTCCTCGTGCAGGCTGCCCTGTAAGAAAGCTGTGCTGAAGTCAAGAGAGTGAAGCTCGTAGTCACGGTGAGCGGCAACGTGCAGCAGCACCCGAAGAGTAGTCATCTTCGGGGTAGGGGAGAAGGTCTGGAAGAAGTCAACTCCCTCTCGCTGACTGAAGCCTCGAGCAACGTAACGAGCCTTGAAGACAGGTGGAGAACCCGGCGGCCGCTTCACCTTGAAAATCCACATGCCATCGACGATGTTCGCCCCAGGAGGGGGAACCTCATCGACGTAAGTGCCTGTGGACTTCCAAGATGCCATCTCTGCGTCCATGGCTGTCTGCCACTGAGAGGAGTACTCACCCGCCATCGCCTCAGCATAAGAGCGCGGGGTCGGGATGTCTGGTGCATCTGGGTCTCCCTCAGGGGCAAGCAGCATGGCCACGAGATGAGGCGCAGCAGTCGCAAGACACTCAAGGTCCTCGTGCCTGTCCTCAAGGACGTCCGTGCTAAGAGCACACTCACCCCCGACGGACGGAGGACAGACAGACTCAGACTCAGCAACAAGACTGGCAGCGAAGTCTAGACGACAGGCAGCAGCAAAGTCAACAAGCTCAGCGACAAGAGCAGACGCAGCAGTAGACTCAAACGACGGGTCAGTGACAACAGTGGCTAGCAGACGCGTGACAGTAGGGTGCTCAGCACGAAACCGATCAGACTCAGGGTCTGGAACGTCAGGTAGAGAGGACGCAGGAGGAGACGGCAAAGGAACAGACTGCAGAGCAGAGGAAGGACGACGGACTACGAGGTGTGCGCTGGGGACAGCCGGCTGACGCGAACGAGGAACACGACGACCGGTACGACCAGGACGAGCAGGCGAGACAGGACGCGACGCAGGCTCACGACGCTCAGCAGGACTACCAGTCTGCTCAGTGTAAGGAGAAGGAGCAGGCAGCGGTGAGCCAGGCTGTAACGGAAGACCAGTAGACGACGGGAGAGTAAGAACCTGACGAAGAGCAGAGTCAGACGGCGGCAGAGACGACGGAGACGGCGGAGCGAAGAACAGTCGTGTCGGCGTAGCTGCACCAGTACCGGCAGCTCCAGCAGCTCCAGTACCTCCAGCAGCTCCAGCACCTCCAGCAGCTCCAGTCCCAGAACCGACACCTCCAGTCCCAGGGTCTCCAACCTCAGTGTCTCCAGCAGCAGCACCCCCAGAACCAGCACCCCAAGCCCCAGCAGCTCCAGTACCCCCAGGACGAGCACCTCCGGAACCAGCGACTCCAGCAGTAGAGCCCCGGGCTCCAGCAGCGCGACCCTGACGGCGACCGTACTGGTCCTGCAGCTGCTGTGAGGTGAGAGGCACACGTGGACGAAGGCGGCTACTCCAAGGAGACCGCGCAACAGCAGACTCAGAACCCTCAGCGCCAGCACCCCCAACTGCTCCAGAACCTCCAGCGCCAGCACCTCCAGGCTCCTCACGCGTAGGCTCAGTACCCGCAGACTCGGCACCCCCAAGCTCAGCACCTCCAGGCTCCTCTCGCGCAGGCTCCGCACCCTCAGACTCGACACCCCCAAGCTCAGCACCTCCAGGCTCCTCACGCGCAGGCACAGCACCCCCAGACTCCGCACCCCCAGGCTCAGCACCTCTAGGCGCCTCTCGCTCAGGCTCCGCACCCCCAGGCTCAGCACCCCCAGAGACAGCACCCCGAGCAGGACCACCTCCAGCAGGACCTGAGTCACCAGTGACCTCAACAGGCGCAGGTACCGGAGGGTCTACCTGAGAAACACCTGAAGGAGCAGGACCTGGCGCGGGGAGGGGGTCTACCTGGGGAGGACCTGGAGCGAGAAGGAGCGACGGGGGGGGGCGAGAGGCAGTGCGGTAGGGAAAGAGACGGTAGAAGGGAACAGACTCGTCAAAGGTGACGTCCTGAGACGCAAAGACACGGCGCGAGGTGGGGTCGTAAAACTGCCAGCCAGGCGCATCAGGAGGAAAACCAAGGAAGACGCAGGGAATGGCGCGAGCAGAGAGCTTGTCCGCGGTGAGATCGCGGACAAAGGCACGAGCACCCCAGACCCGGAAACGCGACGCATCGCCAACCTCCCCCGTCCACAGCAGCGTGGGCGAGGTCTCCGGCAAGGAGACACGGGGCCAGAGGTTGAGCTGATGCGCGGCGTACCGGACCGCGAACGGCCACAGAAAATGGGGAGCCGCCGCATGGATCATGGAGGTACGAGCGACCTCCATGACTAAGCCAATGCGGCGCTCAGCAACCCCATTCTGCTGCGGAGAGGCCGGAAGCGTGAACGACTGGGTAATGCCGTGCTCCGCACAGAAGGCTGCCAAGAGGTCAGAGGAGAACTCACCACCTCTGTCAGAGTGCAGACGCAGGACAGGGAAGTCCCGCTCGAACCGCTCGCGGAGCTGGAGACGCACAGCGCGGATCCAGGGGATCAAAACAGCAGGGACGTCCCCCTTGCTGCGCAAGGGGAAGACCGTGGTGTAACGCGTGTAGTCGTCGACAACCAGCAAAAAGTACCGCTCACGGCCCTGTCCCTGGACGCGGGCTGGGCCCCACACGTCCAGGTGGAGCGTCTGCAGGGGAGCCTCTGTGGGAGGAAACGAGGAGGAGTGAGGAGCGGCGCGCTGCCGCCCCTCGACGCAGGGAATGCAGGGCGGCGCAGGCGAGGGAGGGAGGGCAGGCAGAGACCTGGGAAGCCCAGAGACCAGGGAGCGAGAGTGCATGCTACGAAGGCGAGGAAGGGAGGGGTGACCAAGGCGGTGGTGCCACAGAAGCGTGTCGTGCGACAGGCGGCGGCACTCACACTGGGTAGCTACCTGAGCAGACGCGTACAGCTGAGGAGACAAAGGAGTGTAGCGTGAAACAGTGGTGAGGGTGTACAGACTAGACCCCGGCTCACGAGTGAACGTGGCCAGGTGGCGGCCAGTCTTGGAGCACGTACAGATCGCCACACGCTGCCCTCCAGGAGTCCAGGTGTCAACCCAGTGATCCTGGAGGACGGCGTTGCTCACCAGGTTCGTAGAGAACGAGGGAACGTGGAGACCTGACAGCTCACCAGACGGGACCGCCGGGCACGGGAGCACAGTCGTGGCTCGTGCAAGCACTGGGCCCCCAGAGGGGTCAGCCAGTGAGACAGGGACAGGTGCAGGGAGGGGAGTGACGATGGTGCTATCGCGAAAGAAACAGCGGGAAGCACCAGAGTCAAGTGTAAACGTGTGCAAGGCCTGAGTCGACTCAGTACCAAGGGGAGCAGACTCACTAGCACCTAGGGCTGCAGCCCTTATACCGGGGTCAATACCAGGATCAGGCGGCACACACAAGTAACAGTCACCCTCAGCACTAACAGTCAATGCATACATGGCAGAAAGAATAGCATCATAGTCCAGATCAAAGATAGGCACATCACGCCTAAGCAGCTCGGCCCAGTTGGGGAACTCAGTAGCATCAGGATACTTGGCACGCCAGGCGTCACTAAGCCTAGCAAAACAACGATACTCAGTGTGAAAACCGTTGCAGGGGCGACCCTTGCGGGGGCCAGTACGAATGACATAGGGGCAGCGGTCAGAACCCCGAGACGCCCCACGCCCAGCATACCAGTCATTGAGCTGCTGGGAGGTGAGGGGAGGAAGCTGCTGCTGCTGCTGTGGCTGCTGCTGCTGCTGCTGCTGCTGGCCACCAGTGGGGCCACCCTTCTGGCCAGATCCACCCCCACTCCCACCTCCACCGCCACTGCCGCTGCCTCCTCCCCCACCACCGCCGCCGCCGCCTCCACCGCCCCCGGTCCTGCCGCCACCCCACCCACCGCCTCCACCCCCACGTCCACCCCCACCACCTCCACCACCCCCGCCGCCTCCACCACCGCTCCCTCCACCGCCACCTCCGCCACCCCTGCCACCCTTGCCGCCCCTGCCACCACCACGCTTCCCACCAGGAGCGGAAGCCGCTGCGACCTTCTCCGCACCGAGGAAGTCGACAGCAGTAGCAGCAGAGGCGTAGGAGGGGTCAAGAGGGGAGGGGGAGCACCCCTCAAAGAGGGGAGTGCGGGGAGTGCCACGAGCAGCACCGACAGCGAGGATGTTCTTCTCTGCTGCGACCAGCTGCTGCTCGAAGTCGTCCAGAGTGATAGTTGGAGGATCCTTGGCAAGGAAGTGATCCCTGACAGAGCGAAGAGTGTCAGGGAGGCGGGTGACGAGGATGTAGAGGGTGAAGTACAGCGGGGGGGTGTTCGTGGCGAGGAACTCGTCGGTAAGAGCGGCTCGAAAGCGGGCGTCACTAGCGCGGAGGTGAGTGATAAGGTCGGCAGCAGTGTGAAACGAGGCTAAGTCTGGGAACAGGTAAGGCAGGATGAGACTACCAACGGTGGCTGTGGCCGGGGCGGAATAGCGGGCAACGACAGCATCATACAGCGTCTTAGCAGTCTTAAGCTGGTTGAAATGCGCGCGCTCAGAGATCGGTAGGTGATTGCGAATAACAAGGCGCGCGACTGCGTCGCGGAGCTCCCACTGTGCTCGTTCAGGGGCAGGAGCAGTCTCAGCGGGAGTAGGGACAGTGCCAGTGACATAGGCTAGTAGTGATACTCCGTCTGCGACGTCAGTCATAAGGTAAAGCCGCAGATCACTAAGCCAGGTGTCAAACTCGATGGGGCGGCCGTCAGGCTCAAAGGCGAGAACAGTAAGGGTCGCCATGGTTGCAGCGCAGGCAAAAGTAGCAGGCTCAGGCAGCAGGCTCAGGCAGCAGGCAAAGGCTGCAGGTTCAGGCAGCAGGCAACTGTAGCAGGCAGGTGCGCAAGGCAGACGGTAGAGACGCAAGGCAGGCAAGAAAAAGACAGGGTAAACCCTAAACCCTGGCGGCAGGTACAGGCGGACGCAATGCACGGGGCAGCAATGCGCTGTACGAGCGGCGAACGCGACGTGCAGGGCCTAGGCGGGCTGCGTGCGGACGGTAGGTGCAGCGCGCAGCTCTGGAGTGGGCCGCGCAGGCAGCAAACACGACGCGCAGGGCGAAAAGGGGCTGCGCGCGAGCAACAGATGCGACGCGCGGGCTGCAGACGGGCTGCGCGGGGCCTTAGCGGGCTGCGCGAGGCAGGGACGGGCCGCGCGCGAGCTGTGCGGGCTCAGGGCGGGCTGCGCGGGCGACGGACGGGGCGCGACGCGGCTGGCAGCAGCAGTGCGCGCTAAAAAAAAAGGCGTGCGCGCGCAGCCGAGGCGCGCGCGGGCAGCAGGCTAGGCAGACAAACAGGCAAGGCAGGTAGGCAGGCCGTTGGTGAGGTAACTTAGTAACTGGTGGGCCCTTAAACTTAGGTCCTAAGAACCTGCTCTAGATGCCATGTCGAGATAGCTAGGCAAGGTTGAATCGATTGACGAGAGAGTTTGGTACAAGAAACACAACCCTAAAGTGTTATCCCCTATAACATCTACCCCACTACAGCCTACCAATATATATCACACATATATATCATTTGACACGAAGCACCCGCGAGTCAACCCTCGGAGGTTGAGAGGTTGCTGGAGGTTACGCGAAAGTCAAAGGTCAAGCGACCTTTGACCTGACAAGTACAGCGCGACAGTTAAGGACACACAACTGACTCGTTACAGAGCAGTTGCCCGAGTCGTACTGTATCGAACCGCAACAGCAACAGTAAAAGTAGTTATAACTGTATCCTTTGATATTCCCTGCATTACTATATAATCTTGTACTTTCTTGTTATAATCAATCTACTTTGCCCTCACATACTAGCGCAAGGTGGTTCACAATCTCTTCACTAAAAGCTTCCGCTATTACAATTGTCCTACCCAGAGTTCTCCTCTGCAAAGATCCTAAGGGGCTATCTCAGCCCAACATGGTATGAGAGCTCACAGGGGAAACTCTGCCACTATCAAATCATCAGGAACATTACAAGACATGGCAACAAACAAGGAAAGGAGCTCCTCTAATGGCTCACCGGGCACTACTCCTACTCCACCTCCTGCCTCTGGCCTGCAGACAGAGGAGGGCGCGGAAACAAGACCAAGGGTGACATCTACTGAGACTCCCACAAACCACCCCGCCAATTTCGTCCAGAGCATGATGCAGAAATTTTTCTCCTTCATGTCCTTCTACGAGCAGCACCAGCAATCGGGACCTGCACAGACACACAACAGCAACAACGGAGCGACGCCCATGAGCCTCGACGGGTCGTCATATGCGCGCGGAAACCAACAGCAGCAACCTACCTTCGCCCCGTACGAGCGCGGGTCGATCAGCTTCATGCCGCAACCTTCACCTGCACAAGACAAGCCACTGGACGCGTTACAAGTGCAATCACAGTTCGCGCACGTTCTGAAGCTGCAGACATCAAGGCCCTTCGACGGAAAGGACTTCTTCACCTGGTCATTCGAGTTCGAGCTGATGATGGAGGGCGCGCAGATTCTTGGGTTCTTCGACGGGTCCCTGCAATACCCAGTAAACGGCACACAGTATGAGAAACAGCAGTACACGTATCAATCAATAATGGCGTATACAATTCTGCTGAGGAACGTCACGCCAACTCAGCAGCAGAACATACGCTCTTACCGGGGTTACGGCAACTCCGCTGAGCTCGCGTACAGCCACCTGAAGAGCCTGTATCAAGCAACAGACAGCGTAAACCAGAGCAGGTTAATGGCGCAGTTGACAACAGTTGAAATGAAACCGGGAGAAAAAGGGATGGCGTATATCAGCCGATGTCGCGAATTGCGCGACAAGCTTCTTCGATGCGGAGGGTCGATCTCTGAAGACGCCTTCGTGACGGTCATCATTGGTGGTCTCGGTCCTCAATGGCGCGCCACCAAAGCCATTCTTCGAGCCCACGGGAGAATCTCTGAAGCAGCACTCTGCGCCGAAATTCACGCCGAGCAGCAGGACATGGACCTGCAAGAAGAACGACACAGAAAGAAGACGACAACATCAGAGTTCGCGTTTCACACTCAACGACGTCACAACAACTACAACAATCGACAGCAACAACCGAAGCCAGTACCTCCCTTCTGTCACATCTGCAAAACTTCAGGGCACCCGCGCACGCACTGCCCGAATCGTCAACAGTCAACGACTCCGCAGCGGCAGCTACGACCCTCAAGCAATCAAGTTGCGTCAACACAGGCGAACCCGACGACTCAAATTCAAGCTTCAACGACCTCAACGGGACAACCTGCGCAAGGAGCAAGAAATATCGTCAGCTGTATGGCAAGACTGAGTGACTCTTGCGTCACGGAATCACCACCGTACTACTCACCGGAAGAACAACTCGAGGAAGCTACACCCCGCCGCGAAACACTTCAGCCGAATCCGACATACGCCGCCATCGCCCAAAGCGAGCCATCCGGGAAGGACACGTGGTTCTTGGACAGTTGCTGCGGCCAGCACATGTGTTCTTCAGGACGCTTCGTACAACGTGAATACCAGCTTCAACGGGAAGTTGTCATCACCGTCGCCAACAATCAAAACCTGCGCACACGACGACAAGGAATCGTCCAACTTCAGTCACGGGAGACAAACGTCATCCTGCAAATGTCCAAGGTTTTAATCGCAGAGGGCTTGGGCTACAACTTACTGAGCGTCAGTCAGTTGATGGCGAAAGGCATTCATCTCGAGGCAGACAGCACAACTCAGGAGTTCAAGCTGTACCACGGGAGAGGAGGTCTCTACATCGGGAAGGCGGTCCTCAAGAACAACGTCTTCGTCTTGGACTTCGTTCCTGATCTCGGCACCGCTGACAGTGACGCCATCGTTAACTTCACAAATTGGACACACCCTCCAGATCTTGATCCAGACTTCAGTCCGGGCGGCTTCTGGTACTCGCACACCATCCCTGAAACAGAGAGAACAAGAGCATTAGCAACAATTCAACAATCGGCAGCAGCAGAGACAACATCGGCAGCAGCAGAGACAACATCGGCAGCAGCAGAGACAACACCGGCAGCAGCAGAGACAACATCGGCAGCAGCAGAGACAACATCGGCAGCAGCAGAAGCAACAACAGTAGCAGCAGGAACATCAACACCCATCGCTGGTCCTTCAACAGCACCACCCTTCGTCGACGATACATCACCAACACCCGCACAACAGCTTCAACCAACGCCGCGAGAAGTTCACCGCAGCGCCAACTTCACCGCCGGCTTCTACTCCAACTCCGATATGTACCGCCGCTCACCTGGGCATCGCGCCTCTGAAGGAACCTGGCACGCAAGAATGGGACATCCAAGTCACACGGTGTTAAACAACACAATAAGAGCAGGAGTGCTCGACAAAGACTCACTCCTACTAACCGACGGCAGAGAACTTCAGCGAGCATGAGGAACATGCTTCACCTGTCCCGTAGCAGACTTAGCACGACAACCGTTTCCATTTCACCATAATCCAAGCGCACCAGCTTACGCACCACTCGAAAAGGTGTACAGCGACATCTTGTACAACCGCGAACCTGGACAGAACACTTACAACTACACGATTACCTTCATCGACGCCGCGACCAGATACGTCTGGCACCTCAACCTACCCAGCCGCGACATGGCCTTCGAAGCGTTCGTCGCGTGGCTTCCTGCAGCAGAGAGAGAATCGGGCGTAAAACTGAAAAGTTTTCAGTCCGACGGGGGAGGAGAATACACCTCACAGAGGTTCAAGGACTACTTGGCAGAGAAGGGAATCAAGCGGCTCATCTCCCTTCCCTACGCCCATCAACAGCAAGGCGTAGCAGAAAGGATGAACAGGACACTTCAAGCCACCATGCGCAAGCTGCTACGTGGCATGCATCTACCCAACCACCAGTGGCCCGAGGCAATGGACCACGCCGTCATGCTGCACAACTTGCTCTCGTCATCATCGCTTCCGAACAACGCATCACCGCATCTGCTGTGGACAGAAAAATTGGGCAACACAAAAATGTTACGGGTCTTCGGATGCATGGTACAGTACCGACCACCATCTGCACGCGCCGGTCGATTCTCCCAACGAGCACAGTGGGGAGTACACCTGGGCATCGAAAAACACCACAACGCATGGAAAATCTTCGACATCAACAGTAAAGAAACAGTCGCAGCACGTGACGTCCTCTTCTACGAGAACCTCACCCTCGACGTTCACCTCGCCTACGTAAGAGCAAACAGACCTGATCCCTCGGGCGGATTCACTGGAACCCGAGCCTTCGCCTCGGCAGAAGACGAAGCTGACTGGGACGAGCAGAACGTGGACGGAGCCTCGGAAGAAGCCGGACCACTCCCGTACTGCTGGGTAGACGTACCAATGGACGACGACAACCCTCGCGAAAGCGTCAACGCCGAAGTCTTCTACAATCTCGCTGACGAAGGTTACGTTACACCCGAACAAGTCAACACCAACGAAGCAGAACGTGTAGGGCCCAATTTCGCACCTGATCCAGAAGCTGGAGACGAAGCAGTTTATCCCGAGGACACCACACTCCCCCGCTACACACAGAGTGGACTCCAAATCCTTGGACTCGTCACCGCAGTCCACGGCGCCGACATTCCTAAGGAGCCTGCGACGGTTCAGCAGGCTCTGGGGGGGGAGCATAAGGAAAAATGGCGCGAAGCCATGGATAAGGAACTGAAGGCATTAGAGGAACGCAACACCTGGAAGGTCGTTCCTATCGGCGTAGCACGAAACAAGACCATACTCACCGGAAAATGGGTCTTCCGTGTGAAGACGAAAGCTGACGGCACCATCGACAAGTTCAAAGCACGCTGGGTCGTACGCGGCTTCGACCAGGAGCACGGACGTGACTTCACCGAAACCTTCGCTCCGGTCAGCCGCCACACCTCACTCCGAATTCTCCTCGCAATCGCTGCCATGAAGAAAAAGAAGCTGCGGCAAATCGACGTCGCAAACGCGTTTCTCTACGCACCTGTTGACGCAGAGATTTTTGTGGAGCTACCGCACGGGTCCAACACAGACTCCACGCACGTCTGCGAGCTGCTCAAGTCGCTTTACGGAATCAAACAGGCCCCGCGACTATGGCAGCAATACCTGCACGCTCGTCTCATCCGCATCGGCTTCAAGCAACTCCCGCACGACCAAGGCATGTATCGACTCACGAAGAACGACGACTACGTCCTGTTAATCGTCTACGTGGACGATCTCCTCTACATCGGGTCAACCGACGGCATCGCAACCTGGTTCGAAGGGGAGCTACAGAAAGACCTCACGCTCACGGTCTCGTCTACCGTCACACAGTACCTCGGCCTCAACATCCGAGAAGAAGAAGACGCAATCTAACTCAGCGCCGAGAAATACGCCGACACTATCGCCAAACGCTTCGCTCTCACACCAACCGCCATCTCCACGCCATACCGCTACACGACAGGAACCGAGAAGGGACGATCCACTCTACTCAAACCCGCCGGCATACGCGACTATCAGAGGAAGCTCGGATGCCTCCTCTTCGCAGCCGTCACTTGCCGTCCCGACCTCTCATACTCCGCAAGTCAGCTCGCTACCTACCTCAAGAAGCCCGAAACAGAACACCTGGCGGAGCTCGACCGCGCTCTTCACTACTTCATCAGCACCCCGACGATCGGCCTAACCTACCACAAGAACGCAACTACACCGACCAAACTAATCGGCTACGTCGACGCCGATCACGCCGGCGACTCCGACAACAGGCGCTCACGCACCGGCTACGTTTACCGCCTCGAACCTATCGGTCCTATCTCCTGGCAGTCGAGCAAGCAGGAGTTAATCGCGCTATCTTCAGCTGAAGCAGAATACATCGCACTCTGCTCAGCCACCAAAGAAGGCCTTTATCTTCGCGAACTGCTGGAAGAAGCAAAGTTGGCTGAGTTACCCAGCTTCACCCTGTTCTGCGACAATCAATCAGCAATTCGCATCGCCAACAAAAACGGCTTCGCGAACAGGACGAAACACATTGCCCTGCGCTACTTCTTCGTGAAAGACGAGATCGAGAAGGGGAGACTTCAGCTGTCATACTGCCCCACGTCCGAGATGGCAGCCGACTATTTGACCAAGAAGCTCGGAAAGCAGAAGTTCGAGTACTGCATGCTGCTGACTGGACAGGGCCACGTCATCAGCAGCGACACTCCAGAAGCGAAGGGGAGTGTTGGAAACAGTGAAACTTAAGCGCTTCAGTCGTGTCGAAACACCGCACCAGAAGCGAGACGAATCATACCGAAGCACCCGCGAGTCAACCCTCGGAGGTTGAGAGGTTGCTGGAGGTTACGCGAAAGTCAGGGTTCTCGTTATCAGACCAATTTGGTCTGATGGTCTGCGTTTAAGACTTGTTTTTATGTATTCATCTTAATCCTAAGGTTTTGTGTTTGTTCTCATATGATCAGCAAGATTTGACTTTTCGGTTCGTATGATTTTTCCAGACGTGTAGAATTTTTAATCTGACTCCACAGATATCGAGTTCGGTTTCGTCTGAAACCGACAGTTTGACCCACTAGGCCATAGGCCCAGTGGACCAGAGGATAGGACCACCACAGGTACAGCCATTTGCTGCCCTGTAACTGCACACGCATTCAATACGCGTGTCTTATACAGCCTTGTAACTGCCTTGTAGCAGCATCGCTGGCATGTAACTGCGGCATATGCTGCCAGGCGTTTTCGTTTGGCTGGCTGTCGGTGCCGACGCCAGCCACAGCCATGGCAACGCGCTGTCCCGTTGTGCCAGCGCATTTACATTTCCTAGACGTCACGCAACACAGCACTGTGGTCGTAGTGCCCCCCTCTCCCAACGCGCACCGCCTTTTGGTTCCGAGTGCAGTGGACGGTGATGGGGTTTCATGCAGCTGGGTATGGCTTGAAAACAAGCCTGTTTCTCCTGCTCGTCCTCACCTCTCACCCAGCCGAGCATGGATCCTATCCCTCCCAGCGTCTGATTTCCCAGCGTGACGCTTCCCAGCGTTTAGACTATGGCCGTCCCCGCCGGCGGACCGTGCGATGGGGAGCCCGTGCTTTCCGCCCTAGACTTCCTAACGCGGGGCAAGCAGATCGCTTCTGCTGCCCCTCCGATTGCGTCGACCTCTGGTGCGGTACCTTTGCCCAGCTCGGAAAATGGCGATCAACACGTGCCAGCAACCACTACCCCAACTACGCTATTATCCACTCCGATGCCTGACAACGGTGCAAATAAGAGCATCCCTCCAGTTTCGGTCGCTACCACCTCTCGCAGTGCTAACCCAGTCTTGCCTGACAGATCACTGAAGAAGCGGTATAGGCAGCGGGTTCTCACCGTCGGCCGACCGGGCGGTCCGACTCAGCCAGCACCGTCAGTTCTTCTGCGACCCACGGAACCAGAACCCGAACCCGCGAATGAAGACTTCGAAGACTCGAAGGGCAAGCAACTGTCGGTTGAGGAGCTTCAGTTGAAGTGCAAGCAGCAGTGGCAGCGGTATTTTCCTTGGCTCCTCATCTCCGAAAACAAGGCCGGCCGCCCCTGCATGCGCTGCAGCATCTGCATGGTCTTCGGTGACCCGAACTACAAATACGGGCGCAACGGCGATGGCGGCATCGACATCCAGAAGCAGACGATGCGCAAGCATCACCACAGTCTGAAACACGAGGCCGCGGTCTCGAGGAAGGAGGAGCGCAACGGCGTGAAGAAAGTGCAGAAGTCCATTGCTGACTTCCACCGTGGGGACGCTGATGTCAAGCGTATTGCTCGCTTGATGGCTATTGTGCTGTTCATTTGCAAGTCTGACGCTCCCATTGTGCTATTCGTGGCTTTGGTTCAGTTCATGGCAGAGCAAGGGACTCCGGATCTGCCCCTGAAGGAGAGCGGGACGTACTACAGCGAGTAAGTGTCCCGTTTTAATTCATTGCTTTATGGTCCGTGAGTTTACAACACTAACGAGTTTTAACCCCGCGTGTCTCAGGTACGGCTTTGCACAACTGGTCGAGACCATGGTGTGCTACCTGAAGTCCCGCCAGATGAAGCACATCCGCCAACTGGTCCGTACCTTGGCATCCAGTTGGACGAAAGCACCGACCGACGGCGGGGGAAACACATGATCGTCTATTTGACGTTCATGCGTGACAACGCTCCCGTCACTGAGTTCTTTGCGTTGCTCAGTGTGGAGCAGTGTGACGCCGCGTCACTCACTACAGTACTCCTGACGCATCTGGAGAGCACCGGCATCGACCTCATGCGCCTCACCGGTATGAGCACTGATGGTGCTTCTGTCATGCTTGGACAGCACAACGGAGTCACCGCGCGCCTGAAAGGCAAGGTTCCTCATCTTGTGTCGTCCCACTGCATCGCGCACAGGTAAGAGTTGTTGTTTCGCGTTTACTACCTATTATTTTTCAATATACCCGTGCTAATATTACTTTCTGCTGTCTTGCAGGGAGGCCTTGGCGGCCAAAGATGCTGCCGCCAAGCATCCTGACTTCAACATCGTGGACAAGGTGGTCCGAGCCGTGGCTGAGAACCTTGGTCGTTCCTCTGTTAACCACGCCAGATTTCAAGAGCTTCAGGAGGTCATCTGCGAGACCCATCTTGAAGTCCAAGGCATCAAGGACGTCCGATGGCTGTCTCGTGGTGACGCCATCCAGCGCCTGGTGAAGGTGTTTCCTGCAGCAGTCATGGTATTGCACGAGACTAACAAGAAGATGTATCAAGTCGTAACGAGCTACAAGTTCCATTTTCTGCTGTTCTTCCTTTCTGACGTCTTGAAGGAGCTCAACCTTCTCAGCTTGAAGTTTCAGCGGCGTCAGGTAAGCAGATTCACGAGTTACCCGTGGCCGTTTACTTCATTTACAACCATTTGCTAAACGTCGTGCTTGTGCAACCCCGTTTACAGGTCGAGGCAACTCATGTGCTGCCAATGGTGCACAACACAACCTTACTGCTGCGCACACGCTACCTCGACTGCGACGACGCGATGTTTGGCCAGGGTGGAGACGCGTTGGGCCCGTTCCTCGACAAGCACGCATCAGGGGAGTTCCGCGAGGTCCTCGTTGCTGCCACTGCTTCCGACGGCACATCGGTCAGCCATCGATACCGACTGCACGAGGAGAAAATCAAGGGGCAGACGAGTGGTGTGGACCACCAAGCATGTTTGGGGCTGGCGCGCGAGTTCATCACGACCCTGGTCGGTCGGCTCGACTACCGCCTCAAGGATCTGTCACACCTCGACGGGGCGAAGCTGTTCAAGCAGGGATCCTATCCCAAGAACTAGGCAAAGCGTGAGCGACGGCTAGGCTAATGGCTCCAGTCTCTGCGCAACATGTTCAAGCGGAAGCCAGAAGACCCTGATACTATACCAGGTGCGTTAAATGCCGGGAATGTGCTGTATGTTTAGCGTTGTTTCCACGTGCAAATTTAAACCCTTTCACATCACCAATACCAATGTTCCCATGCGCACCCCAACCGCAGGCATCAACTGGGCGAGAGCGCAGCGGGAGCTCGTCACCTTCTCTACAATCCTGGCCACGCACCAAGAGGATGTCGGGTTTGCGGACAGCCTGAAACTCATGCTGTCCTCCCCCGACTGGGCGACATGCTACCCGAACCTCGTCCACCTGTGGATGGCTGTCGCCGTGCTGACGCTCAGTACCGTCGAGTGCGAGCGCGGCTTTTTACGGCAGAACATCATCAAAAGCTGGCTTCGCGGGAACCTGTGTGACGCGAAGCTGGGAGAGCTGATGGCTGTGTCGCTCCTAAACTATGACATGGAGTGGCCCGAGTTGCTGAGGAGGTGGAATGCTTCCAAGAAGCGAAGGCCTGCTAATGATGTGCTGATGGCGTCCGGGGAGAGACAGAGCAAGCGTGCGAAGAAGAGATTGGCCGCAGCTGCAGCAGCAGCAGCTGCACTGGCAGCAGCAGAAGCAGCTGCTCGAGAAGCGGCCCTGGCAGCAGAAGCAGCAAGGATGGATGCTGAGTATCCGTGTCTTAGCAGGAAAGAACGGGCCACGGTCCCAGAGTCCGTGGGTAGTGAGGATGGTAGTGATAGCAATGAAGAGTGCGGCTCTAGTGACTCTGACTAGGTCCTTAGCTACTGCGTAGGTTGTTTGATAGTATGAGTAGAATTGCAGGTAGGATTACAGTAGGCTGACTTTTAACTTGGCTTTTAAATTCGTCTAGTTTATCAGACTTGAAAAATAATTCAGCTTGTAAGGCAAACCACGTCAGTTTCGTCGTCAGTGCCTAAGACGGGGAAAATTTTTTTGACGGTACTGTCAGACAGGCCCTAAACCTAGCGAGAACCCTGGCGAAAGTCAAAGGTCAAGCGACCTTTGACCTGACAAGTACAGCGCGACAGTTAAGGACACACAACTGACTCGTTACAGAGCAGTTGCCCGAGTCGTACTGTATCGAACCGCAACAGCAACAGTAAAAGTAGTTATAACTGTATCCTTTGATATTCCCTACATTACTATATAATCTTGTACTTTCTTGTTATAATCAATCTACTTTGCCCTCACATACTAGCGCAAGGTGGTTCACAATCTCTTCACTAAAAGCTTCCGCTATTACAATTGTCCTACCCAGAGTTCTCCTCTGCAAAGATCCTAAGGGGCTATCTCAGCCCAACAAGAGGAATACAGTTGTAACCCTACTGACCAACACTGCATGCAGTTTATATAATACATTAATCAAAAGATGATCTATCCGAAGAGCGCATCCTATGCTAAATAAATGTTAGTACGCAAGTATAGCATCCAGCAAAGCAACCCATTGTACTGAATCACCCCACCATTGCTAACGCCTCTCTATATCCCACCCGTGTCACACGGGTAGTTAAACAAATCCTTTCCACAAGCCCCGGGCAGCACCGACAGCCCATTCATGCAAAACCCCGTGCTCGGGTTTAAGTTTGTAGGAAGAAAGAACCTATAATCGTCTACACCCACGGCGTTGTACTGTACAGCGGGGCTGTCATCAGAGAGGTATTCTGTACCCCAGATGCCAGAGCACAAATCCATGTTTTCGTTTCCGTTATCATCGGACCAGCTGTTTAGGTTCGGGTTGACCGCAGCCTCGGAAAGCACGTGGGCAAAGTTGGAAATCAGCCCGTCGAGAATTCTGTCACCGTTGGGGTACTCGAGGCCTGCTGCCGCTGCATGCGCACACTTGGCGAGATACTGCAAGACAGGGAGGAAAAATGAGGAGGGGGGAAGGGCAAGAAAGATGAGAAGGAGATGATTGCTGGAAAACATCTGTTGGCCGTTGCATCTGTTGGGATCTGCCTGCTGCTGCATGTGTGCGTGCACTTAGCAAGAGATGCAAGACAGGGAGTGGGGATGAGGAGGGGTAGAAGAAAAGGAAGGGGGATGAGTTAGAAAAGGTGTTGTAGGTCACATGGGAAGCTACACAGGAGTCTGTTGTTGGGAGTGTGATGCAAGCACAACTGGTGAACGCACTCACACAATAACATGTAACAAGCACTCACCCTGTCTCAGACACACCAGATAATCACCCTCTCCCAACGCACCAAGCACTCACCCTGACACACCGAGAACTCACCCTGACACACCGAGCACTCACCTCTCAGGCATGCCGACCCACGCCCACTTGATGCTGCCGCTGACGCTGTGGAACGCACAGAATTCGGACCCAAACCCATCCACATCCACGTCAGCAGACGTGAAGATGACGGCTGTTGCGCTGTGAATGTGCAGCAAGCATATAGAGTGAACGCACCCACCCATTCGGATAAAGAAAGTGACTCACTCTCTCGGGCATGCCAACCCACGCCCACTTGATGCTGCCGCTGACGCTGTGGAGCGCACAGAAATCGGTTGTTCCAGTTTTGTAGCAAGTATACAGAGTGAGTGCACGCACACGCTCAGGTGCAAAAAGCGCCCGCCGTCTCACACACACCGACCACTCACCTTCTCGGGCATGCCAACCCACGCCCACTTGATGCTGCCGCTGACGCTGTGGAAGGCGCAAAACTCGGACCCAAATCCATCCACATCCACGTCAGCAGATGTGAAGATGACGTAGACGGCACTGCTGATTCGCGGGAGCGACCCCGAGAGGATCTGGAAGTTGATGAGCGCGAGCAGATCGGCTTTTGTCAACGGGGTTTGCCCTGAGGCTGACGATGCAGCTGCAATGTCAATCTCCGTGCTCTGATGGGGAACAAGGGGATGGGGAACGGAAGAGAGAAGGCAGGAGGGAAGGGAGGAGAGCGATGATGGTACTGATGATCCCGAGAGGATCTGGAGTTGATGAGGGCGAGCAGGTCGGCCTTTGTCAGAGCAGTTTGCCCTGAGGCTGATGACGCAGCTGCAATGTCAATCTCCGTGCTCTGATGGGGAACAAGGGGATAGGGATGAAGGTAGTGGGGAGGGAAGGGGGTGGGAGGGGTGGGGGGGGGGGGGGGAAGGGGAGGTTACACACACAGGGAACCCTACATACACTACGGGGGACCCTAGGAGGGAAGGGGAGGTTACATACGCTGCGGGAGACGGTGGGCGTGACGTAGGTGGCGCCGGCCTTGTAGAGGCGGTTGATGTTCCACCAATCCCTTCCTGCCCTTCCCGCTCCCACCCACCGCTCTAAGAGGGAAGCAACGTACACTGCGGGAAACAGGAGAGCAACGTACGCTGCGAGAAACAGTCGCGGTGACGTAGGTGGCGCCGGCCTTGTAGAGGCGGTTGATGTTCCACCAGTCGCTGACGCTGCCGGGCTTGTTGGCGAGCGAGCGTGCTGCTTGCCCAGTCAAATCGACCAGGGAAACAACAGGGAGAATTGCACGCTTTGGGAGAGGAAAACAAGGAGAATCCCTTCCTAGGTAGGGAGGGGAGGGGAGGTTACTCACACTACGAGAAACAGTCGAGGTGACATAGGTGGCGCCGGCCTTGTAGAGGCGGTTGATGTTCCACCAGTCGCTGACGCTGCCGGGCTTGTTGGCGAGCGTGGTGTCGGATATGGAGTCGACAAACTTCTGCACGGGCGTCTTCTGAGCGGCGGGCCACGTGCCGTGCCAGATGAGGTAGACTTCGAGAGGTTGGGACATCACGGGACCGGACTTGTATGAAATAGTCTTGGGTGCGTAGCTGGGGACTGCAATGGAGGGGAGGGAAGGGAGGGGAAACGAGGCGAGCAGCACGTGCCGTGCCAGGTGAGAAAGACTTCGAGAGGTTGAGACATTACAGGCCCGGACTTGTAGGAAATTAGTCTTGCGCGCGTAGTTGGGGACTGCATGCAGGGGAGAAAAGGGACGGGGAATGAGGATAGCAGCACGTGCCGTGCCAGATGAGATAGACCTCGAGAGGTTGGGATATGACGGGACCGCTTTTATATGAGACGGTCTTGGGCGCGTAGCTGGGGACTGGCAGGGGGTGGGGGGAGGAAAGGGGGCATGGGGAGAGCAGCACATGCCGTGCCAGATGAGGTACACCTCTAGGGGCTGCGACATGACGGGCCCGCTTTTATATGAAATAGTCTTGGGTGCGTAGCTGGGGACTGGCAGAGGGCAGGGAGAGGGCGGGAGAGGAACCGGGGGAAGGGTGGGGGAAGCAGGGGGAGGGGGAAAGGAGATGGGAAAGGAGGGGGGAACGAGGGGGCGTGTCGTCAGAAATGGAGTCGACAAACTTCTGCACGAGTGCCTTCCGCGCCGCCGGCCACGTGCCGTACACCTCTTGTGGTTGAGACATGAGAGGACCGCTTTTGTATGAGACGGTCTTGGGCGCGTAGCTGGGAACTGGTGGGGGAAGGGGACGGGCAGGGGCCGGAGCAGGGGAGGGGCGGAAGGGAAAGGAGGGGAAATGAGGGGAGCAGCACGTGCCGTGCCAGATAAGGTAGACTTCTAAGGGCTGGGACATGACATGGCCACTCTTGTAGGCGACGGGCTTGGGCGCGTAGCTGGGGACTGGCAGAGAGAAAGTAGGGGAGGGTAAGGGAGGGGGAAGGGAAAAGGAATCAGGGCAGCACAGCACGTGCCGTGCCAGATGAGCTACACCTCAAGGGGCTGAGACATCATGGGACCAGACTTGTAGGCGATGGGCTTGAGCGCGTAGCTGGGGACTGGTGAGGGGGAGGGAGGGCGGGGCGGTAAAGGGAGGGGAATGAGAAGGCGTTGTGCAAGCAAGATGAGGTGCCCCTTGAGAGGCTGCGACATCACCTTGAGAGGCTGCGACATCACCTTGAGAGGCTGCGACATCACCTTGAGAGGCTGCGACATCACCTTGAGAGGCTGCGACATCACCTTGAGAGGCTGCGACATCACCTTGAGAGGCTGCGACATCACCTTGAGAGGCTGCGACATCACCTTGAGAGGCTGCGACATCACCTTGAGAGGCTGCGACATCACCTTGAGAGGCTGCGACATCACCTTGAGAGGCTGCGACATCACCTTGAGAGGCTGCGACATCACCTTGAGAGGCTGCGACATCACCTTGAGAGGCTGCGACATCACCTTGAGAGGCTGCGACATCACCTTGAGAGGCTGCGACATCACCTTGAGAGGCTGCGACATCACCTTGAGAGGCTGCGACATCACCTTGAGAGGCTGCGACATCACCTTGAGAGGCTGCGACATCACCTTGAGAGGCTGCGACATCACCTTGAGAGGCTGCGACATCACCTTGAGAGGCTGCGACATCACCTTGAGAGGCTGCGACATCACCTTGAGAGGCTGCGACATCACCTTGAGAGGCTGCGACATCACCTTGAGAGGCTGCGACATCACCTTGAGAGGCTGCGACATCACCTTGAGAGGCTGCGACATCACCTTGAGAGGCTGCGACATCACCTTGAGAGGCTGCGACATCACCTTGAGAGGCTGCGACATCACCTTGAGAGGCTGCGACATCACCTTGAGAGGCTGCGACATCACCTTGAGAGGCTGCGACATCACCTTGAGAGGCTGCGACATCACCTTGAGAGGCTGCGACATCACCTTGAGAGGCTGCGACATCACCTTGAGAGGCTGCGACATCACCTTGAGAGGCTGCGACATCACCTTGAGATGAGCCGCTCAGCCGCTCGCCACCCCAATTCCCACCCACCTCGGCCGCTGTACGGCTTCATGAGCCCGCGAGAAGACCCGCCTGTAGACTTCTTTGACGGGCCGCCCGACCCGCCGCCGCCCCACCACCACTAAAAGGGGTTGAACTGAACAACCACCCCACACCCTACCACACTCACCTCGGCCGCTGTACGGCTTCATGAGCCCGCGGGAAGACCCGCCTGTAGACTTCTTTGATGAGCCGCCTGACCCCCCGCCCCACCACCAGCGGGGGGGGCGGGGGAACCCCGTGCCTATGGTGATGCGGATGGGCGGATCCGTGCTGCCTCCGCTGCCCGTGCTGCTGCTGGTGGTGCTGCTGGTGCTGCTGCTGGTGCTGGTGCTGGTGGCGCGAAGACTTGTCGTATCTTTGGTGCTGGTGCTGGTGCTGGCAGTGCGGACGTTAATAGGACCTTCGCTGCTGGTGCTTGCAGGGTCGAAAGCAGCAGCAGCAACAGTTGCATGAGAGGGGCGAACACCTGGGGATTGACGAGGGCGAAAGGGAGAAGGGGGGAGGGGGAAAAAAGGGGGAAGGGGAGGCAGGGGAGATGGAAGAAAGGGCGGGAAGAGAAAGCGCGGAAGGAAGAAAAAGGGAGGAGCATGGGGTGAAGTGGGAGAGGAGCGAGGGGGCGGAGCGGCGGGGGAGGAACGAGGGGGCGGAGCGGGGGAGGCAGGGGGGAGCAAGAGCGAGCGAACGGAAGCAGGCGCGACGAAGGGGACTGATGTCGAGGAAGGGAGTGAGGGATGGACACGAGGACGAGCGAACGAAAGCAAGACAGAAGCAACTGTGATAACTGAAAGGGGGACAGCCGCAACGTTCGCGATGCAAGGAGATGCGGAAGAGGGCGAAAAGCTACACCGCGAAAGGAGCAACGCTCTCTGCGAGCGGCTCGCTCCTCAAGAAGTTACCGAGGCGCCTCGATAAAAGGTACACCACCGCGAATACCTACCGTGCTCCCTGCTAAAATAGACGCCGAGTCGCTCCAATGCCGCTTCACCCTCTGCGCGTGAACGACGGGTGACAAGGAGGAGAGGGAGCGAGGGAAAGGCGGGGGTGAATAAGGTGGATTGCGGCGCGTCAAAACACTACTTTGATCACTCTGCACGTGAACGACGGGTGACATCGAGGAGAGGGAGCACGGGAGAGGCGGGGGTGGATTAGGTGGATACGACGGGGAAAAAGGAGAAGGGTCATAGTGAACCATGTAACTATGTGACAACGTAACCAGTGTAGAAGAGACGACAAGGAACGAGCTTTCAATCTGTCACGAGAGAGGGAAACCTGTTTCTGATTCTGCGGACACCGGGAACTACGGTTCTAGAAGTTCTTGAAGCTTCGGGAACTTTCTAGAAGGTACGAGAAGGCTCTTCTGCCAGTATTACTGTGGTTTCCGAGAACGGCGGCAGAAAGCGGCTCAAAGGGAAACGCTTGGCCAGGCCTTCCCATGCTAAGCCTGTGCAGCCTGCTCTAACGGAGCGTCGGTGGAATCATGACTAGGGGATTCTTCTCACGCAGTTAATCTATTTGTCCTTGTGGGAAGTTTCGGCGAAGCCTTTCTACCCAAAGCTTGGAAAAGGGAGTCGCGGTTAGTCTACCTTCAAGGCGCGCCGCTTCCCGTGGTGTTAAGCGCGACTCCACTCGCTGCGCGAACGGCGCCGCTGCGAGCGCCAGGAATAACAGTAGCAATGCTATTCGTCGGTGAGACATGGCGGCTCGTCTAGACTCTGTCTACAGTTCCGTCTACAGTGTACACAAAACTTGGAACAGAAACGTTCTTCGACGTTCTAGTTAGCTCTCGCTGCTGGTAAGCTACGTTAGTACTTAACACAAGAACGTAATTAGGGTTACAAATGTTTGAACAGACACGAGTTCTGCTTGGCGCGAGCAGGGAAAACGGAGAAAACCTTGGTTCATCGCTGCGTCATTCGTTTGAATGTCGGAATTCCAAACAACTGGCGAACGACGGAAGCCATGACCGTGACGTGTTTCCTTGTTCCAGACAGAAACTGTGAATAGTAGTATAGTGGCGAGGTGACCGAAGAGGATTACTGTAGTTCAATCACGCGGTTGATGTAAGATGGGTTAGAGTAGTTTTTAGGGATTTTATGTGCGTTTGGATAGGGTGAAGACCTCTCTTGTCTGCGGGAGGGACAGGTCTCTCGCTCTGGATTGGCTGGGCGAGGGGTTGTGCAGGTTTGGTTGTCGAGAACCCGATTTGCTGCGAATGCTCACCCTGCGAAGTTGGGTTCGGTTGTGAGTTCTGGAAGTTTCGAATTTTGCTGCTAGGTTGCTGTGAACTCCCAGCTTCTTGTGCGGCAGATTCATTCGGGTCGTTGTCCCAATTGCTTGTCAATCGAAAGAGTTGGCTGACGGGAACAAAACATACTGGAGAGGGGGCAGTGTGAGCAGTGTGGAGAGAGGGCATACGGTGGCTGAGTGGCACAACACAGTGCTATGCGCTGTGGCCCTGGAAAACCGCTTGGCACTGTTTTGTGGAGAATCGAACGACTCGAGGGGGGTGTGACTTGGCATGGTGCTGGTGCTCTTCATGAAAAACTCGATTAACTTTTAAGTGGTCTAGTACTTCCTGCTGTGATTCCTGAAACTTATTCCCGTATGTATGCTGCTTCATTATGTATCTGATCTTCAAAATACCATACATGCTGTTACGAATAGTAATACTTGATTATTACTGTGCACTCCTCACCGCAGCAAGAGAAGCACGCAGTATCGAGAACGAACGCGAAGAGTCAGACGGTTAGGAATTGACTCGAAGCGTCAGACAGTTACAGCACATCTGGACCGTCGGAGCAGACGGCATCGGACAGCTGCAGGCAGGATGGTTTTGGCGGGAACAGTTTCGTAACTGTACGCGCCGCACGGTTGGGAATGTATTTGAATAAGGAAAAGTACCCCTTATAGTACATGGCTAGTTAGGTCGTTTCGTATTCCCCTGTACTCTTATTTATATCGCTGTATTTGCATGTTTTAATCATCTCAAAGCATTTTACATTCACTCTGCTATTGAGGTCAAGGGCCCACCAACACTATTCTACTGCGTGCGAACCTTCCTGAGTAGATCCTGGTGGCGATCAACTTCTGATCGCAGCACATGCATCCCCAAAAACTTAAGTAGGATACACGTTTTAAAAGAATCTGCTAATTTTAAATTATAATTAAAAGAAAGGCACTGCTTTGTTATAACACATTGTCATCAGGGGCAAGCTGCTGAACATGATTATTATAGACGATGCACGTTCTTTTTACATAGCAATAGAACTGCGAGGGGAGTATACAGTTATCGAAGAAAGTCAGTCTGATCAGGTACGGGTCGCGTTTGTCAGCAGTGCGTAACCAGTTCGTTACTGGCATGGACACAAAGGGGTAATGGACCTACCTGCGGCTCCAGATTTACCTGTGAATTTGGCTGGTTATCCATCTGCAGGACCCCACTCGCCCCACCTGGCCTCAACAAATCCCCATGAGTTCCATTGCTCACCAGGAAAATCGTTTCGCCATTCTCGAATACTGCTGCCTGCCACAACCTGCAGAGCGTCGGCCTATTACACAGATCCTTCTGAGCATCACCTGCCAATTTTTTCGAGACGTCGCGACGCGGACCACATTCATGGTTGCGCCAGAAGAACCACACACACGAGTGTAACGGGGCAGCTCCTATGCAATTCAAGAATATTGCTCTCCCTGCCCAATGTTACGGCAATTCTGCCTCTACCTGACCTGTGTAAGTAACCACTCAGTGAAGTAGAACAGACGTGAATCACACTTACCAAAACACGACTTCTCCTAACCATGGTCCGAGTGTAGAATGGGAAGTCGCACACTCTTTACGGGTTCGCTTCCATAACCTTTGGGGTGGACTTCGTAAAAACAAAACACCACACACACAACTTTGGGAAACCTGAAGTTCACCACGGTGTACATACATGCTTCACTGATATGAACCCTGGTCGTTTCCTCGTTGTTTGGCTCCACCTCTCTATCAGCCTCCAGCCACCCACTCACCTGCGCGACCAAACGCCATTCCCTTCCCTCCTCCCACCCAGCTCGTCGTCAATTGTCAAGCTTCTCAAGCCCAGTTCAGCCACACCAAGAGATTAGACAGAACGAAAACAAAGTAGCCAGTAGCAAGCTTCGTTGAACCAGCAACTAGAGTACCTAGAACAATCTGCGCGCGGATTTGTAGACACTCAAGGCAAAAATGGGTCGCCGGCGGACTGCGATTCTCCTCTCACTGGTGGCTCTGGTCGTCACTTTCACCCTCCTCCCACAAGCCGAGTCGGGGTCGAAGTTAGGTAATAAGAACATATGACGTGCGGTTGTGGCGCCTTAGAGCATTGAAACTCTTTGTGACGTTTCATCGATACATCCGACTAGCTTTGAGATGCTCGAAGAGCGTTCGAACAGTTGTACCGCGCTGAGAAAGTCCACAAGCCAATGGTCGTGTGCTTGCAGCGCCCTGGCTCTAAACCGCACGCGCGACCAGTTATTTTCTACGCTGTGCTTCTAACCACCCGCAGTGTGCAACTGCTCTCTTAATTGCAGCAGCTCCGCTCGTCAATCTTTTCTTAGTTTCTTTCTTCTTTTTTGTAACGTGTGTCTTCGGTTCGCCTGTCTGTCTCCAACTCCCTAAACCGTTTTCTTCTTTTCCTCTTGGGGCTTGTGTGTGTGTTCTCTTCCTCCTCCCCCCCGCCCACCTCCTTCCTCCCCGTGTTCCCCGCGTGCTCCCCCTGTTCTCCCCGCGTGTTCCCCGCGCCCCTTGCCTCCCCTGTCCTGCAGTTAAGGGCAAGACGACCGCTTCCACCACTGGATCCAACGCTCCCGGCGTTCACGTGCGCATCACCATCGGCGGAAACACCGGCGGCGGTAGCGGCAGCGGCAGTGGCAGTGGCAGTGGGAGTGGTAGCGGGAGCGGAAGCGGTAGGGGCGGCGGCGTGCGGTCGCGGTCGGCGGGTTCGGGGAGGAATCCAGGGTTCATGCGAACGTATACCGGCAAGAGTGAGTAAAGCTACCGCCTCGACCCGGCTCGTGCCTGCCCGCTGGGTTTAATCTTTCCGACTCACGTTCCCGCAGTAACTTTTGAGTCTACTCGGTTTCCTTCTTTCTTTCCAACTTTCTTTCTCTCGAACTTGTCGACGAGCATCCTCGCCCGCCCCTATCTGTTGTGGCTCGTCGACGTGTCGCTTTCGAACCTAGCCACGCGCCCAGGCCCATCTCGTGCAAAATTCCCCCACGTAATATCTCTTCTATTCCCCTTTTCTCCCCCTCTCTCCGATGCCTCTTCCCCTCCCTCTCCCCCTTGCCAGTCCCCAGCTACGCGCCCAAGGCCATTTCGTACAAGAGCGGCCCGGTGATGTCCCAACCCCTTGAGGTCTACCTCATCTGGCACGGCACGTGGCCGTTGTCGCAGAAAACTCCCGTGCAGAAGTTTGTCGATTCCATTTCCGACACCACGCTCGCCAACAAGCCCGGCAGCGTCAGCGACTGGTGGAACATTAACCGCCTCTACAAGGCCGGCGCCACCTACGTCACGCCCACCGTCTCCCGCAGCGTACGTCCTCCCTTCTGGTTTGCCGAATTTAATTTCCCACGCATTTGTGTGCTTTATCAACAATAGTCTACGTCTGCACATGTAATTTTATTTCTCATACTTACCGTCATTTATTTATACTTCAACTGATTCTCATATTTTGTAACGAACTGTGTTCAACAGAACACGGAGATCAACATCTTAGCCGCGTCATCAGCCTCGGGCCAGAAACCCCTGAAGAAAGCTGAGCTGTTGGCTCTTATCAACTTCCAAATTCTGTCGGGATCGCTGCCGCGAATCAGCAGCGCCGTCTACGTCATCCTCACTTCGGCTGAGGTGGATGTCGACGGATTTGGCAGCGACTTCTGTGCGTTCCACGATTACAGCGGGAGCATCAAGTGGATGTGGGTCGGCATGCCCGAGAGGGTGAGTGGGCTTGGCTCTAGCTGAAAAAAAATCCCTTATCGCAATTCTGTCCTATCCTTCCAATCATTTACTCGCTTTACCTGTCACCCTGAAAATAAACTTATTATTGCCGTTTTCTTTTTTTCCTCGCCTTCTTCCAGTACCTGTCGAGGTGCGCGCATCAAGCGGCGGCAGGCCTCGAGTACCCCAACGGCGACAGAATTCTTGACGGGCTGATTTCCAACTTCGCCCACGTGCTTTCGGAGACGGTGGTTAACCCTAACCTCAACAGCTGGTCGGACGATAACGGAAACGAAAACATGGATCTGTGCCAGGACATCTGGGGCACCGAATACCTCACTGATGACAGCCCCGCTGTACAGTACAACGCTGTGGGTGTAGACGACTACAAATTCTTCCTGCCTACGAACCTCAATCCCACCACCGGGTTTTGCATGAACGGGCTGTCTGTGCTCCCTGGTGTGTGCGGGAAGGAGCTTTTCAACTACCCGTGCGACGCTGGTGGCCTGTAGGTGGACTGCACCTAACAGTTCATTCATTTATCCTTACAGACGTTTATATGTACTGTAATGAGCTTGGGTGGGAAGGATGGCAACGTGGGTAGGACATGGCTGGTGTCATCTGGGTGATGGCATGTTTTCTCGAATCCTCTCTTCTTTTTGCTTATGTATTGTATGAGGCTGTTTCGAGGGAATGGCCTGCTGGACAATTGTTTTGTTCTTTTTACACCCTTGGCTATGTTTGCTATCAATTTCATGAATAAGGGTTTGGTGGCTAATTGCTACAGTTTTGCTGGTGATTCTGACCTTGGTGAGTCCGCTGTAGCATACATACCGCTCAAATTCGAACCCTTGTCCAGTTCTCCGGTTTGTGCAATTGTTGCTTTATGCTACATAGGACACTGAACAGGACCTATACAATGATGTGCCATTATTGTTTCGAGGGCAGATGACCTTTTGTTACGCTGTGGACCTCAGAATTGGGTTCATTTTGAAGACATACTGTAACCACTCTGTACTTCAGTGACTTATTTGAGTTACCGGTATGTATAACATCGACCTTGAGTCATGAACCATTTACAACACCCCCCCACACAATTACCTACAGCCTACGGTTACATCATACCCTTCTAAAAGATGTGAGAATTTCCCAAGGCAAGGGCCCCTTGGGATATTCCACACTGCCAAGCCAACTCACTCAAACCACTGCTTGCTTGTACGGTATTCCAGTCCTCCTACCAGGTACTCCAAGAGCACCGCTGCTGCTACCGCTGCTGCTGCCGGCACTGTTGCTGCAAGTTGTCACCCTGCTGCACAAGCACCACCACCTGCCCCTCAGTACTTCCCTTCCCCTCTCCCCCACCGCCTACTCACTCGAATCGCTGCTCGCCTCTATGCCACTCCTCGCATTTGCTATTTGAAAAACTGAGAGAATTCCCCAAGCGCACCTTGGAATATCCCGCTCTGGCCCTGGTTGTCTCCCTGCTGCGGCAATTCAGCCTGACCCTCCTGGCTCTTCCCCGCTCCCTTCTCCCCCACCACCAACTCACCCAAATGGTCAAACCGCCGATCACTTGAAGAACTGCGAGAATTTCCCAAGCGCCCCTGGAATATCGCGCTCTGGCCCTGCTTTTCACCCTGCTGCATCAGCCCCCCACCTCCTGCTTTTTTAACAAACCCTCACTTGAAGAACTGTGAGAACTTCCCAAGGGCACCCTGGAATATACCACTCTGGCCCTGGTTGTCACCCTGCTGCGGCAATTCAGAATGACCCTCCAACCTTGCCTTCTCCCCCAACGCAGCAGAGGCAGCGGTGCTAGTGGTTGCAGAGGGGTGCTTGGGAATCTCATTGCTTCCTCCCCATTTTCCTGGCTGCCCTACTGTGTGAGAGCGTGTAACACCAGCCAGGGTAACCTGGTTACCAGCAGCAGCAACGGTAGCAGCAGCAGCACCACCAGCAGAAGAAGCAGAAGCAGCGGGACCGGTTTCAGCAAAGGGAGCCATGACAGTGTTACCAGAAACCGTGTAACCAGCAACTCTGTACTCGTTAGGAGCAGCTCCAATAACAGTACCAGCTCCAATTACAGGAGCAGCGGCAGCACGGAGCTATGGTGATGGATTGTCGGAGGAGTGCGAGCGAGCAACAGAGGGGCGAAGCGGGGAGTGAGTGGGGCGACCCTTGAAACTCCCACCAGCCGCACCGGCAGCACCGGCAGCACCAGCAGCGGCATTAGCAGCAGCTGTAGCAGCATCTGTAGCAGTAGCTGTAGCAGCTGTAGCGGAGCCGGCAGCGGCAAAGAGAGGGTCTAGTTTCAGGGTGGGGGGTGGGGAGGAGGCGATGGGGGAGGGAGCGTTGAACGAGGGCGTGGCAAAGGAGGGCAGGTGGTGCAGAGGGGAGTTGTCTGGCGTGCGCTGAGCTGCAGGGGTAGAGTGGGGTGGGACGGAGGGGTGGAGCAGGATTGGAAAAAAGTATCAGCAGGAGGGAGTGGTGAAGGAGGGCAGGTGTGCAGAGGGGAGTTATCTGGCGTGCGCTGAGCTGCAGGGGTGGGGTGGGAGGGAGGACGTGGAACAGCAGTATTGGGAGAGGTGAAAATGGGTAAGTTAGTCATGTCACGAGGGGTGGAACGAGGGAGTGGCGAAGGAGGGCAGGTGGTGCAGAGGTGAGTTGTCTGGCGTGCGCTGGGCTGCAGGGGTGGGGTGGGAGGGGTGGAGCAGGACTGGGGAGATTGGGAAATGGATAAGTTAATGATGTGGGTGGGAGTATCAGATCAGCAGGAGGGAGTGGCGAAGGAGGGCAGGTGGTGCAGGGGGGAGTTGTCAGGCGTGCGCTGAGCTGTCGGGGGAAGAGAAGGGACAGGGGGAAAGGAGCAGTGGAGCTTGATTGACAAGAGGGGGCATTGAAGGAGAGAGTGCCAAAGGAGGGCTCTTCCTGCTCTATCCCACCCTTCGAACCCTCATATTTGAGAATTCTCAAAAGTCACACGAATATGGAGGGCTCGTACTGCTCTATCCCACCCTTCAAACCCTCATCACTTATGGTAGAATATATGCGCCTTGTAACGTCTTCCAGCCTTCACTGTATTGTGTGGCAGCAGCACCCACTTGAATCACCTGAGTTGCTGTTTCTACCACACACCCCTTTTCACTCACAGTAGAATATCTGCGCCTTGTAACGTCTTCCAGCCTTCACTGTATCGTGCGGCAGCAGCAGCACCTCTGGGTCGTTCTCATGCAGCCGCAGCAACCTCTTGCTGCTCTTACTACTGCTCTCACCCCCCTTCAAACCCAGCCCACTCACGGTAGAATCTCTGTGCCTTGTAACATCTTCCAGCCTTGACTGTGTCGTGCGGCAACAGCAGCACCTCTGGATCGTTTTCATGCAGCCGCAGCGACCTACCCACGCCCTCCCCCTCTCCCAACACCCTATCACTCACGGTAGAATATCTGTGCCTTGTAGCGTCTTCCAGCCTTGACAGTGTCGTGCGGCAGCAGCAGCACCTCTGGGTCGTTCTCATGCAGTCGTAGGGACCTCTTATTGCTGCTGCTAATGCCGCTGCTGTTGCTGTTGCTGCTGTTGCTGTTGCTTTGAGACCTACTGCCGTTAGCAGAAGCACCAGTGGTCGCACTAGCATCACCACCAGCACCACCAGACGCAGCAGTTGTCGCAGCAGCACCATCACCAGCGCCACCACCGGCAGCACCACTAGCACCAGCGCCATCACAACCATCACCACCACCACCCACTGTGCTGGAGCCGCTCACAGCAGGGAGCAGGATGAGCTTCGCCAGCCGGCCGCAGTGGTCCGACAGCTTGCGGTGCACCTCCCTCAGTGACAGCCCCGCCTCCACGTCCCTCGTGCTGCCGTCTGGGAGCTCTATGGTGGCGGTTAAGAGCTGTGGAGCGAGGTCTTGAGACAGAGCGGCTGTGCCTTGAGGCACCCCTGCCACCATGGAGGCTAGCGGCCCTGCAGAGAAGAAGGGGCGAGGGAGGGAGGGGAGAGAAGGAGGCGTCTGGGAGCTCCATGGTGACTGCTGTGAGGGGTGGTAGTACCGTGGGGTCTTGAGACATAGCCGCTGTGCCTTGATGCACGCCTGCCAGCATGGAAGCTAGCGGCCCTGCAGAGCAGAAGGGGCGAGGGAGGGAGAGAGGGGAGAGAAGGAGGCGTCTTGGAGCTCTGTGGTGGCGTCTGGGAGCTCTGTGGTGGCATCTGGGAGCTCTGTGGTGGCGTCTGGGAGCTCTGTGGTGGCGTCTGGGAGCTCCATGGTGACTGCTGTGAGGGGTGGTAGTACCGTGGGGTCTTGAGACATAGCCGCTGTGCCTTGATGCACGCCTGCCAGCATGGAAGCTAGCGGCCCTGCAGAGCAGAAGGGGCGAGGGAGGGAGAGAGGGGAGAGAAGGAGGCGTCTTGGAGCTCTGTGGTGGCGTCTGGGAGCTCTGTGGTGGCATCTGGGAGCTCTGTGGTGGCGTCTGGGAGCTCTGTGGTGGCGTCTGGGAGCTCTGTGGTGGTAACAAGCGTCGGCCTGCAAGACGTCCCGAGGGTGGAAGAGCACATCGGCATCGTGAGCAGTGGCATCGTGAGCAGTGGCATCGTGAGCAGTGGCATCGTGAGCAGTGGCATCGTGAGCAGTGGCATCGTGAGCAGTGGCATCGTGAGCAGTGGCATCGTGAGCAGTGGCATCGTGAGCAGTGGCATCGTGAGCAGTGGCATCGTGAGCAGTGGCATCGTGAGCAGTGGCATCGTGAGCAGTGGCATCGTGAGCAGTGGCATCGTGAGCAGTGGCATCGTGAGCAGTGGCATCGTGAGCAGTGGCATCGTGAGCAGTGGCATCGTGAGCAGTGGCATCGTGAGCAGTGGCATCGTGAGCAGTGGCATCGTGAGCAGTGGCATCGTGAGCAGTGGCATCGTGAGCAGTGGCATCGTGAGCAGTGGCATCGTGAGCAGTGGCATCATGAGCAGTGGCATCGTGAGCAGTGGCATCGTGAGCAGTGGCATCGTGAGCAGTGGCATCGTGAGCAGTGGCATCGTGAGCAGTGGCATCGTGAGCAGTGGCATCGTGAGCAGTGGCATCGTGAGCAGTGGCATCGTGAGCAGTGGCATCGTGAGCAGTGGCATCGTGAGCAGTGGCATCGTGAGCAGTGGCATCGTGAGCAGTGGCATCGTGAGCAGTGGCATCGTGAGCAGTGGCATCGTGAGCAGTGGCATCGTGAGCAGTGGCATCGTGAGCAGTGGCATCGTGAGCAGTGGCATCGTGAGCAGTGGCATCGTGAGCAGCAGCATCGTGAGCAGCAGCATCGGGAGCAGTGGCATCGTGAGCAGTGGCATCGTGAGCAGTGGCATCGTGAGCAGTGGCATCGTGAGCAGTGGCATCGTGAGCAGTGGCATCGTGAGCAGTGGCATCGTGAGCAGTGGCATCGTGAGCAGTGGCATCGTGAGCAGTGGCATCGTGAGCAGTGGCATCGTGAGCAGTGGCATCGTGAGCAGTGGCATCGTGAGCAGTGGCATCGTGAGCAGTGGCATCGTGAGCAGTGGCATCGTGAGCAGTGGCATCGTGAGCAGTGGCATCGTGAGCAGTGGCATCGTGAGCAGTGGCATCGTGAGCAGTGGCATCGTGAGCAGTGGCATCGTGAGCAGTGGCATCGTGAGCAGTGGCATCGTGAGCAGTGGCATCGTGAGCAGTGGCATCGTGAGCAGTGGCATCGTGAGCAGTGGCATCGTGAGCAGTGGCATCGTGAGCAGTGGCATCGTGAGCAGTGGCATCGTGAGCAGTGGCATCGTGAGCAGTGGCATCGTGAGCAGTGGCATCGTGAGCAGTGGCATCGTGAGCAGTGGCATCGTGAGCAGTGGCATCGTGAGCAGTGGCATCGTGAGCAGTGGCATCGTGAGCAGTGGCATCGTGAGCAGTGGCATCGTGAGCAGTGGCATCGTGAGCAGTGGCATCGTGAGCAGTGGCATCGTGAGCAGTGGCATCGTGAGCAGTGGCATCGTGAGCAGTGGCATCGTGAGCAGTGGCATCGTGAGCAGTGGCATCGTGAGCAGTGGCATCGTGAGCAGTGGCATCGTGAGCAGTGGCATCGTGAGCAGTGGCATCGTGAGCAGTGGCATCGTGAGCAGTGGCATCGTGAGCAGTGGCATCGTGAGCAGTGGCATCGTGAGCAGTGGCATCGTGAGCAGTGGCATCGTGAGCAGTGGCATCGTGAGCAGTGGCATCGTGAGCAGTGGCATCGTGAGCAGTGGCATCGTGAGCAGTGGCATCGTGAGCAGTGGCATCGTGAGCAGTGGCATCGTGAGCAGTGGCATCGTGAGCAGTGGCATCGTGAGCAGTGGCATCGTGAGCAGTGGCATCGTGAGCAGTGGCATCGTGAGCAGTGGCATCGTGAGCAGTGGCATCGTGAGCAGTGGCATCGTGAGCAGTGGCATCGTGAGCAGTGGCATCGTGAGCAGTGGCATCGTGAGCAGTGGCATCGTGAGCAGTGGCATCGTGAGCAGTGGCATCGTGAGCAGTGGCATCGTGAGCAGTGGCATCGTGAGCAGTGGCATCGTGAGCAGTGGCATCGTGAGCAGTGGCATCGTGAGCAGTGGCATCGTGAGCAGTGGCATCGTGAGCAGTGGCATCGTGAGCAGTGGCATCGTGAGCAGTGGCATCGTGAGCAGTGGCATCGTGAGCAGTGGCATCGTGAGCAGTGGCATCGTGAGCAGTGGCATCGTGAGCAGTGGCATCGTGAGCAGTGGCATCGTGAGCAGTGGCATCGTGAGCAGTGGCATCGTGAGCAGTGGCATCGTGAGCAGTGGCATCGTGAGCAGTGGCATCGTGAGCAGTGGCATCGTGAGCAGTGGCATCGTGAGCAGTGGCATCGTGCGCAGCGGCATCGTGAGCAGCGGCATCGTGAGCAGTGGCATCGTGAGCAGTGGCATCGTGAGCAGTGGCATCGTGAGCAGTGGCATCGTGAGCAGTGGCATCGTGAGCAGTGGCATCGTGAGCAGTGGCATCGTGAGCAGTGGCATCGTGAGCAGTGGCATCGTGAGCAGTGGCATCGTGAGCAGTGGCATCGTGAGCAGTGGCATCGTGAGCAGTGGCATCGTGAGCAGTGGCATCGTGAGCAGTGGCATCGTGAGCAGTGGCATCGTGAGCAGTGGCATCGTGAGCAGTGGCATCGTGAGCAGTGGCATCGTGAGCAGTGGCATCGTGAGGAGCAGCATCGTGAGCAGTGGCATCGGGAGCAGCACGGTAACAAAGCAAGCGCCCGCCTGCAACCCATCCTGTGGGCGAAACAGTACATCGGCATCATCGGCAGCAGCACCGGGAGCAGCAGTGCTGGTTGGCACTACCAGCACAGGGCCCACACCTCTCAGAAAGCAGAACACACGCACCTCTGACCGGCTCAGCACGGTAACAGGCGCCCGCCTGTAACACGTCCTGTGGGCGAAACAGCACATCAGCATCATCGGCAGCATCGGGAGCAGCAGCGCTGGCACCACCATCGCCATGCGTTGCGGCAGTGCGTGCATGACTGCTGGTGTGAGGTTGCGTGACGAGGAAGTAGCGGCGTCCGTCGCAGAGGGTGGGGTGCCGGCGCCACAGCTGCTGCAGCGTGGTTCCCCCAGGTACCTCCTCAATGCGCCCATCACACGCTATTCGAGCAAACCTATTGAACACGAAAGGGGACGAGAGAGGGATGAAAGGAAGGAGGTGAGAATGCAGAGAGTGGGGTGTCGGCGCCACAGCTGCTGCAGTGTTGTTCCCCCAGGTATTTCCTCAACGCGCCCATCACACGCTATTCGAGCAAACCTATTGAACACGAAAGGGGACGAGAGAGGGATGAAAGGAAGGAGGTGAGAATGCAGAGAGTGGGGTGTCGGCGCCACAGCTGCTGCAGTGTTGTTCCCCCAGGTACTTCCTCAACGCGCCCGTTACACGATATTCGCGCAAACCTGGGGAGCAGGAGAGATAGTGAGGAGAAAAGAGAGAGAAGCAAGGAGGTGAGAGGGTAGGTTGTAGGCGCCACAGCTGCTGCAGTGTCGTGCCTCTGGAGGAGAGAGAGATGGAAGGAGGAGCAGCGAGCGAGTGGAAAAAAAAGTGATCATTGCAGTTCACCATCTCACCACCCATTGCCACCTAACCCAACTTACGAGAGCGATGCGAATGTGAGGTGAGAAGACAGCGAGTGCTCCGCGCCCTTTCCCCACACCTCCCCCTCATCGCCCCCTCCTCTCACCACCCCCTCCTCTCAGCAGCCGCCGACCCCACATCACTATGAGGTGACTTTTGAGTCGACTCAAAAGTCTTCTCAAAAGTCACCTCAGCAGCCGCCCACCCCACATCACTGCCTCTCTCTCACCACCCGTGGTCCCCCATTCAACTGACGAGAGCGATGCGAACGCAAGGTGAGAAGACAACGAGTTTTCCGCGCCTTCCCCCTCATCTCCCCCTCCTCCCGTCCTCTTTCCCCTCGCTGCCACTCCTGCTCCTGAATGCTCTGGCCCTGCAAGGGGTTAACAAAGGACATGGAGGAAAGCGACGTGCAAACATTAAGGGCCCAACACTCACCCAAACAGCAGTGCGCGCGGTATCTCAAGCCTGCTCTCAGACGGCCCCCCCCCCGAAACAGCACCTCCACCTTGGCGCTCGCACTCCACACCCCACCTTCTGTCCCCTCCGCCCCCACTCTCTCCCCCCCACACCACCACTCACCCAGCCAGCAGTGTGCGCGGTACCTCAGCCCCGCCCATAGCCTGTCGTCCCCCCATCAACCAACCTCACATCCCACCCATCCCCATATTCCCTTACCCCTTTCCCTTCTGCCAACAAGGACTCACCCAGCCAGAAGTGCGCGCAGTATCTCAACCCCGCTCTCAGCCTGTCTCTCCCCATCAACCGAACTTTTGAGTCGACTCAAAAGTCACCTCGCCACATATCATCTATTTCCCCTCTGCCAGTCTCACCACTCACCCAGCCAGCAGTGCGCGCGGTATCTCAACCCCGCTCTCAGCCTGTCTCCCCCCTGAAACAGCACCTCCACCTTGGCACTCGCGCGCTCCACGCCCCACCTTCCGCCCCTTCCTCCCCTCACTCCTTCCCCCCGGCACCTGCACTTGACCCCTTACTCTCCCCCCCTCTCCCCCCACCACCACTCACCCAGCCAGCAGTGCACGCGGTATCTCAACCCCGCTCTCAGCCTGTCCCCTCCCCGAAACAGCACTTACCTTTAGGCCCCTACTTGAGATGCATGGGGACGCATTTCCCCCACTCTCACCGACTCACCATTGCTTAGCATCCTACATCAGACTCACCCAGCCAGCAGTGCGCGCGGTATCTCAACCCCGCTCTCAGCCTGTCCCCTCCCCGAAACAGCACCTCCACCTTGGCACTCGCGCGCTCCACGCCCCCCCCTCCGCCTCCGCGCCCCCCCGCGCCCCCCTTGGCCCCCCCCGTCTCCCCCCGCAGCCGCGTGGTCAGAAAGTACCGCCGCCCCGAGCCTAGCAGGTCCGGCCGAGCCTCCCAGATCTCCGCCAGGGTAGCGTTGGGCCGAGCCAAGACCCCGAGCGTCCCTGGCACGTGGATATGCACGTGCCTGCAGGAAGGGAGCAAGAGGGGTTGAGAGGGGTTGAGAGGGTGGAAGAGAATTGTCCAGAACACCCTATGGCCACGAGCGTGAGAGTCAAGAGCCAAAACCCCGAGCGTCCCTCGCACGTGGATATGCACGTGCCTGCAGGAAGGTGAGGGGAGAGGGGGGGGGGGGAGGGGGAGGCGAATGAGGAGAGTGGGAGAGAAAATGAGGGACCTAGATACTGTTTCTACCAGCCTATAAGTTACTAATCTTTCCCGAAGCGCCTTACTCTTCCCCCTTGAGGTCCGGCCGGCCCATCCAATCGCTCGACACAGCGCGAACCACGCCGTCCGTCGCGCCGCCGGTCGCGGCGGGCTTCTCGCCGCCGCTTGCGCCGCCATCGGACCGCTCAGCGCCAACAACAGCACCGGATTTTGCGGCAGGTGGCGGATTCTGAGGCTCGCGGTCCGGCGCCGGCTGAACCTGCGCCTTCCGCCGAAAGAAGTTCATGGCTTTCGGAGGAAGACTGGCTTAGGAGGATACTTCAGAAACGTTCAAGAAGCTTAGAAACTTGCTCGGTCCAAATCCAAACTTGCTGCCTAGTAGGTACTGGTGCACTTCATGTGTTGAGACGTGCCTGTAGTAGTAACCTCACGAATGTTATACAAAAGGAATTTGTGATTAGTTAGGAACTTAGGAGACAGATTCGTGGCTGTTGCTGTGCTCACCTTGTGATAGGCTGATGATTTTGATCCCGCCAGTCAGTCAGACAGTCAGTCAGTCAGTTCCCGCCAAATTCGGACAAAATTCATAGAGAGCTGTATGCCTCGCACACAGGTTAATCCTATGTTCAACCCTTTAGCGAAACATGCAATAGCGGTGAGATTGCGGCCTTGGTGTGGCACCGTAGGATGGCAGTGTAACTGGCTGGCTGGGCTGAGTCCGTCGTCCGCACGCAGGATGTTCTGGAAACGTGCCTCGAAACGGTCACTGTGGAAAAACGCTGCTGCCACGAATCGTGCGCTTACCGACGTTCTCGGCGTGAAAAAAAGTCCTGCGGATGTGTGCATCAGACAACCAAGCTCATTGCTGCCAGCCGTTTTGCTAGTTTGCTGCTGCACTGTACACGTCACACTATTCCGCTGGGACTCTTTTCTCCAGATGTGGGTTCGCTTGAGGAGTTGTTTGGTGCCCGTCTCGCTCAACTCCAGCATCAAATTGCCAAAACTGTTCGCTTTCCAAGTTTCCCCAATTTTTCCAGGCAGATTACGAATCAGATACGTGCTTGACTTTCCCCCTCCATTTCAAGGATTGACTGTCGCTTGTGGTTTCCCGAGGAAAATGTTGCTGACGAAGAAAATCCCATCCATTGAACGTCTCTCGGCTCGGGCAGATGTGCAATAGCACTGCTGTACACCCGATGCTCGATAGAGTCCCCCATACTCGGCGTATGAAGAGGGCCTATAAGTGGTTTGCCCTCTTCGTTTATATTCGCTCAGCTCGCTCCAGGTAAGGGGGGCTTCTAACTGGCATTTGTAACCACTAGGGAAAGTTAAATGTGAACAGTGTGGTGTTGCTGTGTTTGGTGGATGTGGTCACCCCGATGTTACCAGCCTTGACAAGTTCAATGAAGCTCACAATTTCACAAACACTCACAACCCCCCAACACGAAGCAAATTGAAACTGAATTAGGGGCTATTGACAGTGCCCCAGCGTGCACAAGATGTGCACACCTCTGCACCGAGGAGATTCAATCTCCTTCTGGGGGGTCCAAAACCCTCTCACATTGTCATCCACTCCGCGGCGTCGACATAGCCGTTCATCACGGCAGTCACGCCAGAGTCGATGAGCTGCTGGCGCGTCGGCGCCGGCGCATACATCTACGCAGGAAGGACGCGCCCGCGGCGACGAGGAGTCGCCGCGGGGCCGTCCACATGAGCGGCCGGCGAAGGCGCGCACCCTCAGATGCGAGCAGCCCAGGGGTGGTTGGAGGTGCCGCGTTGAGGTTCAGGGGCGGGCTCGCGCGCTCCATGTGCGCCACGATGATGGGGTTCTTGATCTCGAAGAGCGCGCACAGTTGCGCGGGGTGATGCCCGGTCGCTTTGGCATAGCCGATAACATCTCTCTTGCCGCCCGCGCATAACGCCTCGCCTCGCGACTCTCGGGCTGGTCGTCATCGTACACCTCCTGCATGGTGGCGGGCGGCTCCCATGATGTCGCCGAATACGGCGTGCGGGGCTCAATGGCCAGCGGATCGTCGCCCGGCTCGCGCACGTAGGCTGGTCGTCGTCGATGGCGACGAACTCGGCGGCGGGCATGGCGCTCGGGCCGAGGCGCAGCCCGGCGATCATGATGCCGACTTCGCCGATGTCCTCGTCGAGGTCGATGGGGAGCGCCGCCACGACGCCGTCGCCGACGGGGGCGAGTCCGTCACGGCCGACATGCGCAAGATCCATGGCCCAGGAGCGCGGGCATGCAGCCCGTCCGCCACCAGCAGCGCTGGATGGTGGTCGGCGCGGCGGGGATGTTCATCCAGGCATCGGAGAGCCATGCGATGACATCACGCATGTTCGGGCGATAGCGCGCAAGCGCAGCAGCGGAGCCGCCGGCCTCCCACAGGCTTGTGACCGTGCGGAGCCAGTGCTGGCGTAGCGTGCCTTCGTGGTGGCAA